CTACACATCATATTTAATATTAATATTTAATATTAATATATAAATCATTTCTGCTCTCAAAAAATTAACAGTGCTCAAATTCCTTGAATGCATTGAGAATTTATGAGTTGTTCACAATTGCAAATCGTGTTTTGTGGCTCTGATTAAGGGCGCAAAAATTCATTCATTATTTATGTGTATTTGCCAAGTGTCGCTCTCGCAAAATTTAATTTAATTTTCTTTGCATTACAAGTTTTGCTTTCATCATGCTCATTCTCATTTTCAGTCTCTTTTTATTTATGTAGATTTTTAGCTATTCATCGCTTCGATATCTTTAGCAGGACTATTTTTTGCCCTAGCCTCAACTTTTGATCTACTCGTATTTCTATTGAACACCAAATAAATTTTTGCACACTTTTTTTTTTTATTCTACGCGCTCTTCTAACAAATTTCCAGCTTAATTTTCCTTTATTTTTTTGTGCATTTTCTTTTGCATTTCCGTTAAGCTCGTTAGTCAGCTCAAAATTTTGCGTAGTTTTGGCCACGACTGATGCTGCCACTGCCACTGCCTCTTCCTCTGCCTCTGCCTCTGCCACAGCTACTGCTGTAGCTGATGATTCTTGGGGCGCTTCAACAATTTTCAGCTTTTACACGACATTTGCTACGCAAACAAAATAAACTGAATGCCACAAGCTCCATGGATCCACGTTCACAGTTTCGGGGGCTAGAATAATGGGCGCACTTGTTCGCCATTTGTTATGCCACAGGGCTAGCAGTTTGTGCCTCGCTCTTGACCATTAAGTAACGCATAGCTCGGACCGCAGGGGCATTTACGTTTTGGGGGCACCAGAGTGCACGTTAGCTTTTCGGAGGCACTGTGAACGATTACATTCGGATGATGTATGCGTCTCGTCTAGTAGCCATTTGTTCTATTTTTGCTCTCTTATTTTTTTGGGTGATTTAGTGGCTAAAAATGCGATTTGATGTGCTGCAGCGATAACAAAGTTTTCGGCTCTTTAAAATGGAGCTAAAGTGGAGCTTGAATATGATTGATTAGAGCTGGAATCAATTAGACTATAAAGCAAGTGATAGATAATCGTGTGAGTCTGCAAAAGATTTCACTAAATTATTTATTATATTATTATTATTATTATATAGTAGTTTGTACTGAATTAATCAAGCAGAGAGTTTTTCCGCTTTTCTTTGGGTTTCAAGACCCTGAGAAATAAAAGCGATTCGGCTACTCTTAGAGAACGTTTCGCAATCTTATTGGCCTCAGCCAAATATCTAATCAGAACATTTTCTCTAGCATTTCCGCTTAGCCTTATCTCTTATTCTCTTGGATCACATTGATTGCGTTTCAATCAGCAGGTCTCAGCGCAATCAAATGTGAATGTGCGTAATGCAACAGCTTGTGAATAGACAAATGGTTTCTGGTCGTGAAATGCGATGCCGCATAATTTGGCCAGCAATGAGCGAAACTAAGCAGAGGGATAGCCAGATAGACAGCTAGACAGACAGGCAGAGAGGCAGACAGACAGGCTAGAGACTCTAGCTGGAAATTGAATTGAATTGCACAACAAACGAGGCTGCTTGTGGCTCGTTGAAGTGTCAACGAATGCATTGAAGTGTGATTTTTGGGGATCGAAAATCAAATTTCGGCAATGGCAATGGCAATGGCAATAGCAATACGGCTGATGGCAGCCAGGCAGGGTAACTGTCAGCAGGACAATATATAGTATGTGAACGATTGGCATTTTTCAGCCAGAGCCCCGAGCCGCAAACAGAGGCAGAAATAAACAATTCCAATTTCGAGTGCCAGCTCTGATTGCAGCTATTGAGCTAGAAAATGCTTGACAACTGTCAACACAAATGCATTCACAATCTAGCCAATTGATTTACTGCACGTGTGTGTGTGTGTGTGTGTGTGGGATTTGGCTATGCCTTTGCTTCTCTCTATGAGCTGTGCTGCTCTTTCAATTCTCATTATGACCATTAAATATGTATGCCAATTAAATACAAACTTAGTTTATTTCAATTAAGCTCAAAACAAAAGCAAACTTCTGGCCACAGCTGAAACTCGTAAGCAGCTCACTGAAGACAATCCTTGTTGACAGTCGTCGCCAGGCAACCAATCAAAGAGGTTTACTTCAGATCTCTGGCTGTGGCGAAGCGAACTAAGGAACTAAGTTTTGAATTTAATTTTCAAAGAGAGTTTATGATTAATAATGCGAAGCATTTAATATACTTTTTTTTCTACCCGTTTCAAATGTTTATTGAAAAGTTTGTTCAATGGATCTTTTGATTTTCAATTTAATAAGCCAACTTTTAAGAGTCTTGAATCATTTTTGTCATACAATATGATACAATCTTAAGTAAGTTCAAAAAGAAATTATTTATTTATTATATAAAAATAATAAGTTTACTATTTATTTTATTTTTGTATATAATCCAATTTTTTTAAATATATATTATCATATTATATTAAATATTAAATTAGATTTAATAAGTTTATTAGTTTACAAATTTTTGTATAACTGAGAAATATCAAATTTATTATTTATATTGATTATTATTATTTATAAATACAATAAATCTATAATTCTTATAACGAACTTTTGTATACATATGTATGATTATAGCTATTGTATTCTAATTCTTCTTCTTCAATTTCTTATCTTCAATTTCAGTTGAAGTTCTTTGGTTTTTCACATATTTTATTAAATTTTAGCTCTGATAAATGCATATAGAATACACTACAGCTACATTATTTACCACTGTGCCTTGTTGTGGCAATTGATGCCGGAAATTGTTGCAGCTATGCTCAAAAAGCGTCCTTTGGTGGCAATAGAAATGGTTGCAACTTAGCGCAACACAACTTTAGTGTAGAAGCAGGGACAGAGACCACCTGCTGCAACCGCTTCGACGCTCCTTCCAAGCCCCCAAATTCCAGTAGCATCCTGCAGGATCCCTAGTAAACGACGTACATTAATAATGACTTGCAAGAAGCGCCAACAGTTTGTGGCAACTGCCTTTGACCTCACGATGCTGTCCTATTATTGTCTCTCTAAGAGAAAGGCGGAACGAGAGAGGGAGTGAGAGAGGGGTAGAGCGGGAAAATCGTCCGTCGAGACAGCATCATTAGTCAAAGTTGTTTTCCGCCCAGCATCATGAAAAGTGCCTCGTAAAAAGCTTACCGGCAAATAGGATTGCAAGATGAAAAATAATAAGAAAAAACTCAAGCAAACTTGGAAGAGGTTGAGTTGAGTTTGGTTGGGTTGGGTCTGTGTTTGTCCTGAGAAAGTACCTGAGTTGATTAGCATGATTAAAATTTTCCTAATTATTTGCGCACTCAAAGAAAAACGAAACAGCCACAAAACTTTGTTGTGAGTCGCGGGGGGATGGGTAAAAAGTGCTTGTAGCATTAATCAACAAGTATAGACCTTTTTGCTGCTCAGGTTGACAACAGGAAAAGGGTGCACAGAGTGCCACTAATGACTTGCCTTTAGTTTTGTAGTCAGTCCGAACTTAAAGATTTTCTTATTATATTACCCACTGGGAAATTGGAAGAACTTTACAATTTTTTAAAATTTAATTATTGTATTGTTGTTGTATTTTTGCATAATACATAAACACATGTAGCTGTCTATGGGATAGAAATCTAGGTTCAATTTGCATGCTAATTAGAATTTGCAGTGCAACAATGGGAAACTGTTTGACGAGTCCAGAGAAATGTCATATTTTACGAATTGAACAATTAGATAAGGCAAAACAATTGTAATCAAAACTGGTAATGATCTGGCATTCGCCGATTTATATGCGTATACAACTTCCGATTCACAACTCGATAATTGTTTTATTATCTCTTGAACTTGACCCATACTCAGACACGGTCCAACTAACTTAAACAAACAATGTATTCCAATAAGATTGCTGAGTGTCGCGAGACGCAGCGCTCCACGCTTTTAAATGCTTTAAATATGTGCTGGTGATCATTTCAATGAAAATATCCGCTCTCTTGCTCTCTCTCCCACGGTCTCTCGCTCTTTTTGCTGATTTCTTTTTATTTGCATTTTTCTTTGGTGGATTTGTTCTCTGAGCGGCGTCCTTTGCTATCGCTCTTGCTCTCTCTTTTTCTTTTGCTCTGAACTACCTGCGGAAATATGACCAGCATTTGCCTTCTTACAGTGGTATATATTGTGTTATTTCTGCTGCATAAACATGTTCTGCTTGCCTACAAAAAATCTATTAAGAAAATAATATAATAAAAATGAGTTATAAATAGATATACAAATAATTAGTTTATGTATGTTTATCAATTTCAATTACATTAACCATTCGATTGTGAGCTCGTTAATTTTGCTTGCAAATTTAAAGTGCTCATTACCAATGTACGCGTGCTTTTTAGGCTCTCTGCGCTCACTTAATTTGCGCGCGTTCTTCTTGTTGCCACGTTCGCTCACACAGTGCCTCTCCATCTCTATCGCTCTCATGCTCCAGCTGCTATGCTCTTGACATGTCAGCTTTGCCGCCTCAGTTCGATATTTGCTGCCGTTGTGCGTCGTACGTGGTACACGTTTCCTTTGCTGAATTATAATTCGTGATTACGTTTTTTGTGGACTGCGTGGTGCCAACCATTAAACAACAAAAAATTAAATATAGGCAACGCAAAAGAAAGTGCATTACAAATCGAATTGAGAAAACAAGCTATTGAATTCCGTCGAGTGCTTCAAGTGGTATTTCATATTCCATTCGTCGCGTGAGTAAAAAAAACCGACAACGTCTGAAGCGCGCGCTCTTCATGTGTCGCTCTCGCTCTCTCTGCTCTCTATAATGTATAGCTGTCTGTCTGGCTGCTCTCTTCGTTGTTTTTATGCCGCTATTTGTTGTTGTCCATGATTGTCGCTCGTTCTATCTATCTGGCTATTTCTACCTGTCAATGTACATACTAACATACCTGCACATATCGTATCTCCCAGCCATTTATCACAAATATGTACTCCCATCAGAGAAAACATCAATTCAATTTTATAGCAACGTTTTCCGCTTTATTGTCTGACAATAGGTAAATGTTTGCTTAGTCGTGTTCGGAGCCTCTCAATTGCAACGCCGGCAGCGCTCCTCAAAAGGAAATCATAACCCATCAGCATCAGCATAAGATAACAAAGTGTAAACTCCTGTGCCAAGTCAACTAACGTTCATCTAAAATAAAAGTGGTTCATACAAATGATAAAAAAAGCAACAGTTTGAATTCGTTTAACCCGCCACGTTAACGTTTTCTGCAAATACTCCTCAAGAAGAAAAGCATTCGCACAATTCTTCTGAAACGTGACGTCACTGAACGACGCATACATACATCCATACATAAATACCTTCTATACATATGTTCCATTCCGATGTGATGTGTGTTTATATGTATACCTAAATATGTGTATATGTGTGAGCATATCTTCAGCTGGCATACCACGGCATGCTGCTGATCGCTCCAATTGGAGTGAGTCTACATTTTGTCTTATTGGTAACATTCTTCGTGGCGTGTTCCAATTTAACGTACAAGAACACAATGTTATTTACTGCGCCCTGAGCTTTCTCATAGAAGTGAAACTCTTAATATGAAATTGATGAATAATAATGCGATAGGCGTTTATAAATATCAATGTACATACGTGTGCTTTTTGAGAGCTGTCAATGACCCACGACGTCGCCTGATTCAAATCTATTTTATATTTTCTTATCAATTTTTAATTTTTTTTTTTTTTGCGGAGATCAATGATAAGAAAAGCGTTCATAGAGAATTCCATTGTTATTCAGATGTTGCATTGCCAATATATTTTTGATTATATTTTATAATTATATGTGTCTCTATTCGCCTTTATATTTCATTGCCATGAAACATAGCAAGCCCTCAACATGCATATCAATATCCATTACGTCAAATTAAATATGGAAACGTATTATTAGCATTGTTTCCGAAGAATTGCCTGCTGCTACTTACGACACTTGTGTAAAATATAATATTTATATATGTATATACATACATATAAATAATATTGAAAAAAAAACTCTCTTTATACCTATGTATATTTATAGTAGATGCATATGCACCTTTTATACGATATTATTATTCATGTTCGCATCTCGCGCGTGACCAAAGCTCTCTCACAATTAAACAAATAAATACTGATAAAGAGTAAAAACTACCCTCGACACAGGGCCCCTGGGCAAGAGGCAACGTTTTGATTAGCGTGCTATTTTTGTGGTGTCGCCTACATTTGTTAAATGTCGAGTGAGTGGGTCCGGAACCCGCACTAATGATAACAATTCATCTCATCGACGTCATCGTTTCTGCTTTATCTCAAAATGATTGTCATCAATACGTCCGACGTAAGTGGCATTTAATATTTGGTTACTCGTTATTGGTTACTAGTTATTGGTGTTGGTTATTGTTTATACTTGAATCGTATACCCTGTAATCAGTTGATAAGGTTGCTTTTTAGTTGTTCCTATAAAGTAGGTCTTCATCTATGTATGCCTACTTCTTATATACTCTATCTCAGCTCTTTCTGTCTCCAAATACTTCACCCAAAAATTGTATTTTAAATTATCAAAGTTGTTGTTTTCCTTATCTATAAATTCCAAAATTTTAAATTATCATATGCAAAGCAGTAACTCCAAACTGTTTGCTGGGTATCACCTAGTCGTGTACACTCGTCTTGTTTATGTCTTGGTTATGGTGCTTAATATTATTTTGGTCAAGTGGTGAACGGGTTATCAATCACATATGTATTTTTAGCGCTTTACTTGGATCAGCTTTGCAAGATGCTTAGAACGAGACGTGCCATAAGCATCTACATTGATGATGATCAGGTATAAGATATATCCATAGAATAAAGATAAATAAATATGATGATCAAGCACATTGTATACGTCCCGTCATTATAGAGTGAGTTTTTTCTGTTCTGGGGAACTACTGGGTTTTATTTTGAACGACGACACGTGTTTGCATGCGCCTTAATTTCAGTTGGGAATGATTATAATTTAGCATTGCTAATCAGCTCGACAAATCATTGGGAGAGTATTCAAACGTAAAAGGTTCTATTTAGTGATTTTATAGTTTGTATGCTAATCGATTGTTTACGTAGAAAGGCAGTGGGAAGAGGATTGGAACCGGCTGGTACAGATTGCAATTTTAAGACCGAGTGAATGGCTGATATAAAAGCTGTAACATTAATTAGCTAAATGGCATTAATAATTTATTAATGAAAGATAATTTTTAATGTCTATTGGTAACGAAAAAGATATTCATTCATTATTATATAATTATAAGTCATAGAGTTTATTTTTGTACTTTTATTATTTGTACTATTAGGCTAAAAAGCTCTATCAACTTTACAATGTTTATGGAGCATTTGTATTACTCAATTCCAGTGAAAACGCAGACCCGCAACTAAGTACATGTTTACCTTGGGAGCTACGCAAGACTAGATAGCTTTAACTATGTTTTTTTTTTTTTTTAATTTTTTTTTTATTGTGTATATGACAGTTGATTACACACAGAAAAGTATTAGAGAAACAAAATAAAGGTCAGCTGCGGCATGACAAAGGTGGGCGGGCAACTGTCAAGAGCGCAAAGTTCAATGCGGGCTAAAAGAGTAAGAATAAGAGACGGAAAACCTGCACAAGACAAGTCCAAGTCAAATTTTGTGCAGTGTAAACTAAGTGCATACGTGAGGTCTTTAACACCACACCTGAGCGTGACATATTCTCATAAATAACATATAGTCGGAGTAGATAAAAAGACTATGTTTTATTTTTATTTTTATAATATTAATTATCTTCTGTTAAAAATAACTACAGTCAACTGCTGAATAAGAAACCAAAGCAGTCTATGTTTGATGAGATTGGAGAGAAGGAGATTGGCTTATGTAGTTATCTGGATAATATAGTATTATATCAGCATTTGCTGAACTATATAATTTAGTCAATTTGATTAGTATACTCTAGGAATAATGAGATTGTCCCTTAAGCTATTGTTATTGTAATCCATTATAAAAGGCAGATTTATAAAACTTTCTAGATTAACCTAAATTGCGTGAAATTTGCCAAAATATTGTTCCCTTTTATAGTGTGTTAAAGGGTAAAGTAAATATCATGTGTAAAGAGTCAACATCAAGTCTTGCCCCAACAATATATCATTCTATTTTCATATGTAGCCGGAGGCTGTCTCTGGTTGGCATTTTAATTTATTGTTGCCCGCGAGCTAAAATTCGGTTGGGCCACTTGACTTGTTGATGGAATTGCGCTGCGGGTAGAAATGGAGCATTGGCAATCTGATAAAACCAGCAGCTAAATTCTCCAAAATGCAAATTTAATTTCGCAATTATCTGCTTGAAATATTCCAATTGGCCAAGTACTTTCAAAGTCACGCTTACACAGCCAAACAAAACAGAGAATTAAATAAATAGTAGCAAACAGTGCAGCTTCACTAAAAGTTATTTTTATTTTTATTGATTGTATTTATTAACGATATTTCAAGTATTTTATAGACTTGCCTAATTTTAGCCAAACTTATCCCAACAATTTTACCTATTTTTTTTTATTTAGAATATTTAAAATTATTAGTAAACCTTTTAAACATATTTTATCCTGGCCATCTTAGCACAGCTTCACTGTAGTTAGTTTGAGTATTTAGCTTGCGCTTTAGCAGCACAATTCATACGATTAAATGATGTATGAAACCCAAATAAACCAGTCCGATAATAACTTCCACTCAGAGCCCACTTGAAATGGGAATTCTACAATTTTTGTGGCACGTGAAATTAATTTTTAAAAAATCCAATAGACTTAAAAAGTCACTATAATTATTTTAGAGTGAACAAAAAATCATCTTATTCATATTTATATTTATTGCTTAAATGTATTTCTTATATTCACATACAGCTAAATTATTATTAATGAATAAGCTATATATTACTGGCCATTATATTGTTGGCCTTAATTCATATAAATTATTTAACTACAATTGGGAATGTTCTAATTGGCGAGCAGAATGCGCTTGGAGCAGCGAGCGCTTTAATTACAACTCATTTGCTTCGCTTTTGAGTACATTTGGCTGGAGGCAATCTAAAATTGCATTTTAATTAAAACGCACCGCATAGTTTTCATAGTTAGTCCATAATGAAATGCTGCTGCATTCAGTAAATAGATAAATGCAATCCCTTGGGTCTGGCCCTGGCTACTAATCGAGTGCCCACAGAGCTCTGACTTTATGAGAGATTCAGTTGAAAGTTTTACTTGCCGAGTGGGTTAAGAGGGAAAGGCGAAGCTAACGGCTCTCTAAACTCTAAAAAATAATACCTTTACAACGAAGTTATGCATAGCTAGTAGTTGCGTATTCCCAATCTAGTTAAATATTTTATTGTGCGTTTCGCAGCAGAGGTGCAATAAAACCTCAACCAAATCTGAGAGTACTCGAAATTAAAACGCAACCGCAAAGCTGGAGAGTCCTGAAAATTCCCAGCACAGCTGCATATCACATTGGCTGCTTTGGTTGCCTGCACACAGAGTGACTAAAATTTACGACCTGCACACGCACTCACACACACACGCACACACACACTCATGTGTGGACAATTTGAATTTATTGTGGGTGCGGGCAGTGCAGAGATAAACTCAATACCCCTTTTTTTTGGGGGGAAAAAGGGAGCGACATCTATGAAAAAATATGAAGAGCACAAAAAATGGAATTAAAATAAGAAATGTTTTTAATGCCAGGAAGTCACGTATTCAGCCATTTGCTTGTCGAAATCACGAGTGGGTGGCAATTTAACTGACGCCAACTCCTGCTGGACATGACAGCTGCAGTCGGAGACGAAAGGGATGAGAGAGTGGGAGAGAGACAGAGCAAGAGGGAGAGCAGCTCATGTGGAAAAGGGGCTTGGGGGTTCTGGGGGCTTTGTCTGTCTGGCTTTGTGCAGCGGCATGAATGATTACAAACTTGTTGACGAGTGCAAATTAGCTGCAAGTGGTGAAAGAGCTGCGATGGGGAAATGCGAGCTGTTGTCAGGCGATGCCAGCTGTGCGGTCAGAAGGAACTCGAAACGAAGAGCCTGCCGAAAGAAAAATCAATAATATTGGGAAGAGAGTTGGAGAGTTGAAAACAAAACTTGGTTAAGGGAAAGGTCTTCTATGCAGAGTGACAAATAGTAGGCCGGAAGGGAGGATTTATGAGGAAGGAAACGCAATTATGATTTATATTATATAAATTAATTGAAGGATGTATAGTGTGAAGGATATATAGAGTATAGTGTGTGCTTCTACATGGTTTGCTTGCTCAAATGGTTAATAAGTTTATTTTGCTATAAATATCTCATAGGCTTAAGTCTTCATATTTTAGCCATATGATTGTAAAGGCATTTATAACTAACCCATATCCATATCTACATCACTATGCAACACTATATTAACCATTCTTTAAATAACAACTCTTTCTCTTTTTTCTCATTTCCCTTAGACGGGTCTAACCCTAACGCCCGAAATGCTGCTCTCTACCTCCGAGTCATCGACGCACAGCGCCTCTGAGGTAGCGGGACGTCTGCAGGTTGATGTGCGCACCGGCTTGAAGTGGACTGAGGCGAAATATCGTGCCAAGATCATTGGGCACAATGAGCTCAATGTCATCGAGGAGGATCCCACCTGGAAGAAGTACATTGAGCAGTTCAGGAATCCTCTGATTCTGCTGCTGCTGGGCTCGGCCCTCGTCTCGGTCATTATGAAACAGTTCGACGATGCCGTCAGCATAACCATAGCCATTCTCATTGTGGTGACGGTGGCCTTCATACAGGAGTATCGCTCCGAGAAGAGTCTCGAGGAGCTGAAGAAACTGGTGCCGCCAGAGTGCCACTGCCTGCGCGAGGGTCGCCTCGACACGTTTCTGGCCCGCGAGCTGGTGCCCGGCGATGTGGTTTACCTAAATGTGGGCGATCGTGTGCCCGCCGATGTGCGTCTCTTCGATGCCGTCGATCTGTCCATTGACGAGAGCAGCTTCACTGGCGAAACGGAGCCGGCGCGCAAGATAACCGATGTCCTGCTGAACAACACGAACGTCAAGGATCACAGCAACATGAAGAACATCGCGTTCATGGGCACCCTGGTGCGCTGCGGCAACGGCAAGGGCATCGTGGTCAGCACCGGCGAGCGCAGCGAATTCGGCGAGGTCTTCAAGATGATGCAGGCCGAGGAGGCGCCCAAGACACCGCTGCAGAAGTCGATGGACATTCTCGGTGCCCAGCTGAGCTTCTACTCGTTTCTCATCATTGGCGTCATCATGCTGCTCGGCTGGCTGCAGGGCAAGCCGCTCTCCGAGATGTTCAACATCAGCGTCTCGCTGGCCGTGGCCGCCATACCAGAGGGTCTGCCCATTGTGGTCACCGTCACCCTGGCCCTGGGCGTCATGCGCATGGCCAAGCGGAACTCGATTGTCAAGAAACTGCCGACGGTGGAGACCCTGGGCTGTGTCAATGTCATCTGCTCGGACAAGACGGGCACGTTGACCAAAAACGAAATGACCGCCACAATCATCATTACCTCCGATGGCTACATGGCGGACGTGACTGGCGCCGGCTACAACGACCAGGGCGAAATCCACATTCGGCACTGCAACAACGTGGAGATGGCCAAAACGAACATCACGAACCTCCTCGAGATTGGCGCCGTCTGCAACAATGCCTACATCCAGAACGGCACGCTCCTCGGCCAGCCGACAGAGGGCGCCCTGGTGGCAGTCGCCATGAAGAACGGCATGTATGCCACGGCCGAGAACTATGTGCGCATTCAGGAGTATCCCTTCAGCTCCGAGCAGAAGATGATGGCCGTCAAGTGCATACACAAGTACAACAACAACAAGGAGGAGATCTTTTTCGCCAAGGGCGCCCTGGAGACCCTGCTGCCCCAATGCACCAAATACCAATTTGGCACCCAGACGGTGCCGCTCACCAAACAGAACGAGGCCGAGTTCTTGGCCGAGGCCTATGAGATCGGGCGCAAGGGTCTGCGCGTGCTGGCCCTGGCCAAGGGCAAATCGATGCAGGATCTAATCTATTGCGGCCTGGTGGGCATCACCGATCCGCCGCGCCCCCTGGTCCGGGAGTCCATTGAGCTGCTGATGCAGAGCGGCGTGCGCGTCAAGATGGTCACCGGCGATGCCCAGGAGACGGCAATGGCTATTGGTGAGTCGAAGTTGCAATAGATTAATATAATATAGTACAGTCTGGCAGTCTAGGACTCTAAGGTTACAGATTTATCATCCTGTCAATTAGCTGCACGATTTCGCTCTCTAAACTTTGCACATTCTTCGCTCACATTCAGCTAAAAATCGTTTATGTTGCCCACCCCCTGCCCGCCCCTTCATCGTGCTTCGGCAAACTTTTTGCCTAATTCAATTCAAATGCGAGATAAGCCAAAAAATTATCCCTGCTGAGCTGTCAGATTCGCTTTCTTTCCCTGGCCCTGCCGCAAACTTAAAACTCAATTAAAAACTCGTTTCGGTTATGCTCATTTTTGGCCACAATTTGTTGGCTTTAACTTAGGCACCGAAACTATGCAAATAAATTTGTCAACGCTGCGTAATTCAAAGTGGCAGCCAGCCGCGCCACGCCCACAAGTGCGCCGCCCTCAACAAATCAGCACAATTTATGCGAGGCCTAGCCGGGCCGGAGCGGACCGTGCTTCTCACAAGACTGGACGATGCACGAGTATGATGTATGCTATGCATGTCTGACTGAGACTCCAAAGTCAAGGGTCACACACACACACGCACACGCACGCACACAATGCCAGTCAGCTATTCCGTCCTGCCGGACAGCCTAAAAGTATGCAAACAGAATTAATTAACCATGTCAGTTGAAGAGCTGCTCAAAGTTTTCAGCCTCCAGACTCCTGCCTCCTGCGTACAGCCTCCTGCATGCAGTCTCCTGCCTAGTCTCCTGCTTCCAGCTGGCAGCTCTTAGCTAGCTCAGTCCCAGCGAATTTCAGTTGAAGTTTCTTAGTTTGGGATGCACTTGGGAGGCAGTTGGTGGCCTGGTTGCGCCCCGGGCTGCTGAGCGTATGTGACAACTGTACTAGAGCGCTTCTATTTAGTTGGCCAGCAGTGTGGCACTTGGAACTTTGCTGCGAAAGTTGCATAACATTTTAGCCAGCCAAGTGCAAAGTGCTTGCCTAAGCTGATGACAACTGGAATGCACTTTGAGCGCAACTTTTTCATTAACTACAAGGATCTTAAGTTTAACCATATACGTATATATACAAGTGCTCAAATAGAAACCGCCAACGAGCCGTTTGAGGCATGCTACGAAAAATGTGCAAAAACTTGAAGAATTTACACTGCAAGAAAAAATGTTGTGCATGAAAAGGAAATATGAAATGCTAGATGTTCTTCCTATTTGTTAACTAGAAACTCTATTAGCAAAAGTTTTTGATACACGACATGATAACATCAGATATCATGTCAGCTTGTTTGAGTCTTGCGAGCTATAACTAAATTTGGCGGAGTGTAAAATGAAATGCGGCAAGGCAAGCGGAGCAAATTGGAAAAGATACCGCACAAAGCGCGCAACAAGCAGGTCGCAAAATAAAAATACAAAAAAAAAAATACAAAAAATGGGAAAAGAGATGAATCAAGGAAAATGGAAAATGGAAAATAAAAAGGGGGAAAAAAAGGTACAGGAAGCTAGCACAGGTAGCGATTTTCTTTTGCTGTTGTCCTGGCGCCCGCAGGGCGTATAGACCCGACCCACATCTAATATCCTGCGACGCACAGCAACAGCAGCAGGTGCAGGAGCAGGAGCAGGAGCAGGAGTCGGAGCACCAGAAGTATCTGAAGCATCAGCAGCCGCATCGTCGGTCGCTGAAATAATTAACTGTGGCTCCAAACGCCCCATCGTCATCGTCAGCGTCAGCGTCATCGTCATCGTCAGGACTCATCACCATCAACATCAGAATCACCTTTACCATCATCGTCATCATTTTGGTCTGCTGCGAGCAGGAATTCATCAACATGGACATCAACTGCGACTCCACCTCCAGCCACCTGCCAACCTCTGGCTACACAAAGCTCGTCTGCATTGAAAAAACTTCAATACACTTTGCTAACAATTCGCTGATGTACTCATGCAAGGGGTATATGAAGTTTTTCGGTTAGTTTGTAACATGATTAAGCTGTGGTCAATTGAGTTAAATGAAATTAGCAAAGAGAATCCTAAATTGTGCTCAACTAGAGCTGTTGAGGATGACCTGCTTAGGCACAGCCAACTTAACAGCTTGCCCCAAGTGCAGCCAACTTAATAATGCATCAAGTGGCAAATATGAATAAACCTGAAAATTAATATGGATTTTATATATTGCTAGGCTAGACTAAAAGAGTATTTCAGCTAGTCTCATTTTGTTCGTAATCTCTTTTTTTTTCGCTTTTCTACTTTGCTCTTTTGAATAACAGCATAATTATAGCATGGGCGAGTTCCAGTGGGGGATAAATGGGGGCAAAATAACTGAATTTGATTTAAAGCCTCTGGCTACAGACCTGCATATTGATTGAAATTTGACGTTCAAATTGTAAATGAGTTTCCGCTCCGCTCGTCTCCTGCCTCCCCTTGTCCGCCTGTCTCCCTGCTCCCCTGTTCCCTCCGACTAGCTGCTATTATAAAGATCCCCAAAATCGGCTTATGGCATATGCTCAAACTAATTGGCCGCTAGCTGGGCGCTCCTCAACTACTGCTGTCTGTTGTCGGTTGTCTGTTGTCTGTTGTCTAGTTGCTGACCGACCGGTTGAAGTAATCCTCACTAATTTGTTGTTCACGTATGCCCGTATATATATATATATATGAGTAAGTGTACGACCAAGGACGATGACTGCATGCAGACAGCCGGACAGATAGTGAAATAGATAGGTAGGTAGATAGACAGACGGACAGCTGAGGCCGACTTAATTGAGTTGGTGTATTTCATTTTCAATTTGGTTGCCAATTATGTTGCCTGTTTTGTCGTTGGCCGACTCCTGCTTTACGGCTAATTTAATTTGTGGCTTGCTTAACTGGCTCAAGCACTGGCTCAGGTTTTGACTTTCGTTAAGCCATGTCTGACCGCAATCGAAGTGTGAATTTATCATGATTTGCCCTGGAATTAATTCACTCGAGACTTGCAATGCTTTGCTTAACTAAAAGTTCGAGTGAGTAAAGCGCTGCAGTTGGAGCAGAGCTTCATGGAGCTCCAGAAAACTTTTCTCTTGCTCTTTACATTCAGCTTCATATAGGTAGAATATGAGAAAGGCTCTACACCGTCTCTGCACGTTCTAACTTCAACTAGAGCTCTACTGCTCTAGACTCTCTAGCCTCTCAGCTCTTCAGTTCCACACAGCTCTCTGTTTACTCTCTAAACTCTGCCAGTTATCTACTCTAGCTGCAGCTCATCTACTCAAATTTTTGGCGCTCAACCAATTTACACTTGATTTAATTATTTAATTAAATATATATATGCGCTCTGCATTGAGCAGAGTTCATAAAATCACATTTACATTGCATCGAGTGCAATTGGATTGTTTGATGTGGGGGAGCGCAGCATTGGCTGACGAAGGGCTTGCAGGCACGTCTTGGTAGACAATTAGGGGAAAAGCATGTTTGAGCAGCTGCTAAGCCCCCGATCAAATCTTAATCAACGCCACATATCCGGACCCGAGTCACGCCCGCTCAGCTCTGGCTGTGAACAGCCTTTGATTCGCTTCCCTCAAGCTTGACACATATCCAATTAGCGAAGTGCATTTGCAAATGCAGTTGTAATCCACTGGCAGAGCACAGCTCCAGCTCCAACGACAGCATCCAGCTCCAGCTCCAGCTCCAACTCCAACTCAGACACTCTGGGGTGTATTGTGCTGGCACATCAATCGCTGTTTAACAAGAAGGTGGTGCAGGAGCAGGAGCAGGAGCAGGAGGAGCAGAGGGCAACCTCAGCGGAAGACGTAGATAATCACACAGCGATTGCCATGGTAGCCGGAAGCATCAAGTGGGAGGAAGTCAAAAGTCATCAGCAGCAGCAGCAGCAGCAGCAGCGGCAGCATCTGCAGAGTTGAAAGAATTGTCACGTATACGAAAGTCGCTTAATAAACAAGCAGAGGGCATGGCATAGCTCCGACTTCCCTTCGATAGAGCGCATCAGGCAGCTACTCGACCGATTTAAATGCAAATGTCACAAACAGTTGGTGTGAGGCACATACACACGCACAGAGGGAGAGAGAGAGAGAGAGAGAGAGAGAGAGAGAGAGAGAGAGAGAGAGAGAGAGAGAGAGAGAGAGATGCAAGACACACAGAGGCACAGAGACAAACACTGAGATATACAGCCACACATACTTTATATATATACACACACACACACACACACACACATACACACACTCAAGTCCACAATTTTCCATTACGAAATGGAAGAATTTCTCTTGCATCGAGCTTTTCTTCAGCTTTGGGTTTTCTGATGCCGCTTTTCTTTTTGTTTTTATTTTTTCCCTGCTGATATTTTTGCTGCTTTGATTTTGGTGCTTGAGCAGCTGCTGGCAACAGTGAGTTGCGCTTGTTGCATGCCTCGCTCGCTCGCTCGCTTCATATTTTCATAAACTTGGCCAACGTCATTTTCAAGCGGCAACTTTTGCCTTTTTGGCCCAGCTCGCTAGCAAAAGTTTCGGCTCTAATCCGCATTTGGCCTGCGGTTTTGCTGCGACAAATTTTTTGTTGCTTTATTTTATTTTATTTTAATAAAAAACTCTACAAAGTTTCGCCTAGCAGCAACAACAACAACAACTTTTATGTGTTGCATGAATTTTTGCTCATGCACATTTTAATGCCAGGAGGCATTTATCAAAACCATAAACAAACTTTAAAATTTGACAAATTTTTTGATTATGTTTTGTTTTGTTGTTGGTTGTTGGTTGCCTGTTTCAATGTATTGATAGCTTGTTATTTGTTGTGCCCGCATCTGTTCATATAGGATATGATTTTATTTATTTTGATGTTCACTAATGTCTTTTTAAGGCATTTATAATGACACGCCTCTCTCTCTCACTCTCTCTCACTCTCTCTCTCTCTGGCAGCTTGTTTTGTTATTATTTTTAACCACATCTCTCGCATAAAAAGTGATGAATGGCTTTGCCTTTTGTTGAAAATGTTGTACATGCATAATGCATGCATATTTTCGCTTTGATCAAACTTTTACGCCAGCGCATAAAGCCTTCAATATAATAAACAGCCTGTGTGACCAACTCAAAAAAAAAATTAATAAATAAATAAAAATAAAAACAAATATTAATAATAAAAATAAATTCATTTTCTTTATATTTTTTATGCAATTTGTTGTTGGGCTTAACAAAGGTCAGAGGTCGCAGGTCGCAGGTCGCAGCTCGCCTTTGTCATCGGCCAGAAATTGCAAATGCATTTGTAATTGCATTTATTTGTTGTTTCTTTCTGCTGGCCACATCAATTCTGTGTGCGGATTGACAATATTTGCAGATTATGCGCAATCTTTTGTTTGTGTGTTGATGGGTTTTGCGGTCAGTGTCAGAAATGTGTGCTGCAGGTGAGAAAACCTGCGGGTGCACAGGTGTGTGAGGTGGCAAATGACACAGCGATTTATGACAGCTGATTGGGAATTATATATATTTATATATATAGTCATAGATCGAGGCTCGCGCTGAGAACCATAAAAATCTCCTCCATATGAATTTACATATTTTTTACGTGGCCATAAATGAATATTGCAAAAAATGTTCAAACTATGCCAGCAAAAAATATCTTAAAGGTGCTAAAAATTTACAAAAAAAATTAAAAATAAATATATATATATATGCAAGCTATGCCTCAGCCATAAGCATGACTAGCAAATACCCTGTAGGGGCAAACCTAATTGCAGCTTAACTGCAGCTTACGCTGTTTACTTTTGCAACAAAAACCCAGCTGCGCTTTATATTTTAATCTTGCCTGTTACTGTTATGCTTGAGCAACCCCTTCTCTCGTCCCGCAAGCCTGCAGGGTATGGGCAATATGAAAATAGCGCATAAAAAATGCAGAATGAATTTGCTGGATGGCCAAGTAAACTATTTGCATGAAAACGGACGAATAGATTGGGTGGGGCTGGGTCGTTACAGTGGTTGGGGTGGTGCGGTGGTGCGGTGGGTGGCGTCATAAAATGGCAACCGCCAACTGCTTGGCGAAGAAAATTGCGCGCATTCAAGTTTTGCATTAATTTTAATTTAGAAGCGAAAGGACCAAAAGAAGATGAAACAGTTGATAGACGCTTACAGCGGGGCAGAGGAGGCGGCTGAGCAGGAGGTTGGCCGAGCTAGCGCCATTTCCTGGCTCGTGCTGCTGCTGCTGTAGTAGAATGTGGCTGGCAAAAGATATAGCCCGGTAGCAGTAGCAATGCTGCTTTTAATTGTCTCTGGCCACCAGGACGAGAAACAGGAGCAGAGACCAGGACACTGCAGCAGCAGCGGCAGCAGTTGAGCTGCTGTTGTTGGCGCTGATGAGTGTGAAGACGACGCTGAATGCGTTTTAATTACGTTCTCTTTTTTGCTCATTTTACTGCACATTTTTGCAGCATTGTGTGTGCTCGTTGTTGTTGCTGTTGTTATTGTTATTTACTTCAGTGCGCTTTCGTTTAAAATTTTATACAAACAGGACAAGAGATTGTCCTCGCACTTGCCAAGACAAATACGCGGGCGCCATAATGAAAAATGGCGATGCGACTTTTGCAAAACATCCTTTTGTTGTTCATATTACTGCTCCTGCTGCTGCTGCTCCTACTCCTGCTGCTCCTGCTGTTGTTGTTGTTGTTTTCTCTAACAGCTGCTGCTCCCTAGCGTACTTCATAAATGCACAAAAAAAAAAAAAACACAAACGGCCAAAAGGGAGACTCCAAGGGGAAATGCCAGAACAGAGGAATTGGGGATTTCCTTAACTCGCGCCGTGCCTTTTGAAGTTTTTCATCACGTTGATTCACAATTGAATTTTGAGCAGCGTCCCGCACAAATTAACAATTGTTTGTGCTGCTTTTTCTTTTTTCGTTTGCTCTTGGCTTTGAATTTAAGTTTTTGCAGCATCAAACGCATTCCCAACTCGAACTGGAACTCCAACTCGAGCTCCCACTCCCTTTTCAATTCAACTCCTCCCCGCTGGCTAGCCTGTTGCTCAGAGTCAATTGCTTGGAAAATGCAATGAAAAGCGATTTAGTTAGCTTTGGCAAGCAGAGCAGCCAAGGATTTACCTGTGTAACTGCGTAACTTGGCTAAAGAAGCAGACAGAGAGAGAGAGAGAGAGAGAGTAAGAGAGAGGGAGTTTCTTTAAATCTAGTTCAGCTTTGGGCATAATAAATGATGATGACTTAATATGAGTTTAACATTTCCTCAACCGTTTCATCTCATTGCAGCTAGTCTCATTGGCATCGATACCATTCACCACCAGACGCTCTCTGGCCAGGAAATCGATCAACTGAACGAGCATCAGCTGGACAAGGTGGCCAACAATGTCAGCGTCTTTTATCGCGTCTCGCCGCGCCACAAGCTCGAGATTGTCAAGTCGCTGCAGCGCACCGGCAATATTGTGGGCATGACTGGCGATGGCGTCAACGACGGCGTCGCCCTCAAGAAGGCGGACATTGGCATTGCCATGGGCAAGAATGGCACCGACGTATGCAAGGAGGCCGCTGACATGATCCTGGTCAATGACGATTTTCACACAATCATGTGAGTAGATATACAAGACCAGAGTTGCAATGAGACAAGAGCTGAGAGTGAGTTTGAGGTAGATTAAATGAGTGAGAGTCAAAGAAACGGATTAAAGCAATTTCTTAGCTCTTAGCTGATTGAAATCGCATTAGAGTTTCAAACTCAATTGGCAATAGCTTAAAGTGGAATTTGCTTATCTTAAACACTTTAAAATCACATATTTGGTTTGCTCAAGTTGAACTCTATTCAGCAAAGACTTTAATGCCCTTCATCATAATCAGCTCTTGTCTTTTGCTAGCTCTCTTTGCAAATCCAACCAATTTATTAATCGCCTTTCATTTGCTTGCAGCGCTGCCATTGAGGAGGGCAAAGGCATCTTCTATAATATTAGGAACTTTGTGCGATTTCAGTTGAGCACCTCGATTGCGGCGCTGGCATTGATCGCGCTGGCCACGTTGATGGACATTGCCAATCCACTGAATGCGATGCAGATACTCTGGATCAATATCATAATGGATGGACCGCCGGCACAGTCGCTGGGCGTGGAGCCCGTCGATCATGATGTGCTCAAGCAGAAGCCGCGCAACGTCAAGCAGCCGATGATCACGAAATCTGTGGTGGTCAATGTGCTGCTGAGCGCCAGCATCATTGTGCTGGGCACGCTGTGGGTGTTCCAGCGCGAGATGGCCGACGGCACGCTGGGCAAGACGAAGCGGGATACGACCATGACATTCACGTGCTTTGTGTTCTTCGACATGTTCAATGCGCTCTCCTGTCGCTCGCAGACGAAGAGTGTCTTCACCATTGGGCTGACCACCAATCGGATGTTCCTGCTGGCCGTTGCCTTCTCGATCATTGGCCAAATGCTCGTCGTCTATTTTCCGCCGCTCCAAATGGTATTCCAAACGGAGGCGCTCACCGCCTACGACATACTCTTTTTGGTCACGCTCACCTCCTCTGTGCTCGTTGTCTCTGAGATAAAGAAGTGGTTCGAGCGCTCCTTGGAGCGCAAAATGTACAGCACCCGATCCGAGTTGGACTTTGTATGACAAAACGCAAGCGCTAGAGCTGAGTTGCACCCAAAAGCCGAGTAAATTAAATAATAACAAAACAAAAGAAAGAAAGAAAAAAAAAACCACAAAAAAATAGCAAAACTATGCAAAAACCAAGTGAGGAGCGTGGCAGCGTAAACGGAAGAGCGAAAGAGACCGAGCGGAAATTAGCGAAAAAAGTGTGTTTAATTTTACATTTGACTTAGTCAGCGCCAAATAAAACTACCAACCCATCCACAAATTAGCAAACAACAACTAAAATTAACAAAAAAAAAATCAACAAAATAGAAAAGAAAAAATCACACAAGCAAAAATCAAGAAGAAAATTACAGCCATCAAAATGCAAATAGAAACGAGTTCTCAATGGGAAAATTGGCATTCGTTGAAAATATTTGATCGATCCTGGCAATTCCAAAACGATTTCTCGTATGTAACATTTGGTATCAAAATTTCATGTTATATTTCGTGCTGCGTCTCATCAAAGTTGATTGATTTGCATAATGTATAATTTTAATTTGATAACTTTAAAATTTCTAATTTTGTAAGTAGACGAATTCGTAGTTTGTATTTCATTTGTATAATTGAGTTTTAAGTTTGCGCAACAACAAAAACATCTATTGAAGCATTGCTTCAGGTTCTTTATAAATCAAAAACGAAAAAAAAAAAAACACACACACAAATCTCTGTATATCTCAGCGCATCCGAATTATATTTGTATTATTTATGAACTTTTCGAGTTGCAGTCCAAGTTGAAGAACATGGCAAATCCGAAAACTGAAAACTAAATTGAAATCTTTTCCATTTACACGCGTTAGTTATTTAATTATTTTGTAATTTAAGGTCGTATCAAAGTGTTTAATATTCTGCTGGAGAGTATCTGTAAAACATTTTAATGTGATATTATTTTAAGCACATCCAAAACGAGCAATATTTCACACACACACACACACACACACCTATATATATATTATTTTTAAACATTTCAATCTTATTATGACTTGAATTTGCTCTTTAGCTAAACACAGGTATTTTAAATTTGTTTTTATTTAAATAAAATATGTTTCATTCGAATCAAATCAGTTTTCTGCTTTCGTTATCAATTGATAATTAATCAAATAAATAATCAATTACTTTCTATTATCTCTCTTCCAACAGCAGCATCCCAGCAATAAGTCAATTCAATTCGATTCGGCGGCAGCTGCATTCAGTTAATTAAATACATTCCCGACAAAATGTAAAATGAAATGTGCAACAAGAGTAGCGGGGAGAACGCAAAGCGTAGCAAATGGTTTTTTTTTTTTTTTAATAATTTTGTTAATTAATTTATTCGGTAATTCGAGCAACTACAAAAACAACTCTAGCGCGTGAGGCGAAATTTATGAAGATATTGATAACAATTTTTGAGATATGTTAAAAAGGACAATTCAAAAGAAATCCAAACAAAACAAAAACAACAATTTTATTCGATATTCAAGCTCTCAACTAAGATTTGATCTTGAACGAAATTCATTTAACAAATGGAATTTATGAACAATTAACAAATAATAACAATATTTTTAGTTGCCATTATAGGGCTATTCATAGGAACAAAGCTATTTGTTTATGAACAATATTTAGGTTAACAGCAACGAGAAAGCAATAAATAAAACAATACAAAATTAATTTATAAACAAAAATACATAAAAAAAAATATATATGAACAATATAAAAGAGGTTCTCAATTCAAATTTCGTAGTTTCAGTTAATCAACAATAAATTCAGAATAAAGAAACATACTTATTTAATGGTAATCAATATGCAAACAAGAAAAAGAAAATCAAATACCAGAAATGAATAATCGTTACTTAGTCAACTATCAAATGTAAACGAAATGTTCTTAAATACTTATTAATGTTCTTTAGAGCATCGAATCAATATCATAAACAGGCAATTCATATCATCACAGCTCAGCATATGCCCAGCATCCAATTAATGGGAGATATTTTGAACAGTTAGTTACACAGCGCACCGGAGCACCATTTCTTCTACTATATATACATATGGCATATATCTGGAATCGTTTTACCAGTTAGGACGGAGGAGGGGGAGAGTAGTCGATGCATATCACACATTTGTACTTCAGGGACAGAGAGGCTGCTTGGCTACTTGGTCTTTGATCGCTCGCACTTTGAAACATCTATTTGCACTTTTCGGCAGTTTGTCGATCGAATAATCAATTTCTCGATTTAAAACAAAATTCGTATACTTTAATGGACCAAGCATAAATATTTATTGCAATTATTTATAACCGACGCGTATCACACACGTACACACACACTAACACGCGAACAGCAAGCTGCACACACTCATATATCATGGCAAAGAAAACAAACAACCAAAAAAAAAAAAAAAAAAAAAAAATGAAAAATTTAAAAAAATAAAATCGAAAAAAAAAATGAAAAATAAATTGAATATTTAAACTAAATTTAATGGCATCATCCTAAAGTCTCTGAAAATCATAATCCACGAATCATACGATCCACACACAAAGTACACAAAACATCTCATCCACAATGGTAACAATAATTAGTAAATTAAGTGTATTTAATTAATTAACAATTGCATATGTGAATGTCTGAATAATAACATGAATTAAATTATTAGTGGAATATTAGCAAACACTACTATATTTACTATATGTATGTGTATTTGTATCTGTTGAAAATGCAGAATTTGACGGATGCGAAGGCAAAATATGATTGTCGCTTGCTAAACTAACTAAAATGGAAAATCAAATAAATATGAACTATTTATGAATAATATTATATGAAACTATATTAAATAATATAAACTTCATCATATGCTATGTGTAAATGTCTAAAACTAACTACACAGCGAATTTCTAACAAAAGCTAATCTATTCTATCTGTTTTGGTTCCATCTGAATGTATTTCAATTAACGCTCAAAAATATATATATGGCCTTTCGATTTCTGCTCTATCTAATAGATCCTATCTATTTGAATTAGTTAATTAACTTGCGTGTCATGTACAAAACAAAGGAATTTCTATATTTTGGTTATTTCTAAAAAATTCAAAGATGATAAAAACTATAAAAAAAAAAACTATGTCTAACTGTGCTATTAAATGTAAGCTTATATAATATACATAGACAAATATCCATACTAGCGCTAAAAAGAAATATATAAAAAAAAAAAACCTAATGAAAAACTGAATATTTTCGAACATTTCCCACATTTAAAAACTTTTTTTTCATTTCTGTTTCTAATATCTTTCCACCTTAATCTATATCTCTTAACTAACGCGAAATGATTTTCAAACTTAGCCTAAAAACTAAACTGCTAATTAAAAAAGGAAATTTCAATAATTTCTCATTTTAGTTAACTCAAATTGCGCTCTATAAAAACTAAAAGCAAAAAAAATAATAATAACTAAATAAATTATACAACTTACAATATACGAGTATAAAATAAATTAAACCAATATATAAGTATTTATTATGTATCACCGAAAAATAAATAAACCAAAAGCAGAATGCAAATATTTACTAATAAAACTAACTTTATGTAGTACAAAAAGTAGTCTATTTAATTATTTGTATTTTAAAATTTAGTGCTATGAAATGGAATGGAAATGGTCGTAGCAACCAGAGCTTGTCAGCCACTGTGTTAGTTAGTGCCATCTAGTGGTCACTGCTGCAATTGGTGAAGCTGAGCTCAGAAGCAACGCCATCTATGTGTGGTAAGTAGTGTGCTTTGACTTTTTGACAAACGAAATCGATCAAAGTTGGCCGTAAAATGGAATAGACATTTAGAGCAAGCTACACTATCGTTTAATGAAGACACATTTTCATTTTTTCAAATTTCAAGAAATCTCTTTTGTATTTTTATACATTTTCTTTGACTACATGGACGATGACGAAGAGATTCGCGACGAGCGTTACAGCTATGTCGATACGAAGCCGTCATATAGCAGCACTGTCTTAACCGGCAACTGGTTTCAGACAAGATGCCAGGATATGCGACAGAGCAACACTGCTGTCGTGCCCTGTGTGCTGGAGGAGTGCGTTGAGCAGAAGGGATGTGAAAAGCACTTGACCGCCAGCCAGGAGGCGTACTCATTGGAGGACATTCCCAGACTTGACGTATTGCGCAGCTTTGCAGAGGCGAAAGCAGATGGTTATTCCAATTATATGGGACAGCGCTCGAACTACAAGTTCATGGACTCGGAGAAATTCAATCGCAACTTTACGACCTACAATTACTTGCTGTACGAACTGTGGCCCAGAGAGCTGCGGAAGACCCGTTGTGAGCTGCTGGAGACGATGTCCGAGCAGGAGGCCGCCAAGAAGCTGGCGCAGATGCCACCGCCAGACGCACTCGATGCCTATGGTAATATAGGGTCAACGAAATTCAATCCCCATAGGTTCGATGAACCATTCTGCCCAACGCCCACCACCTACAAGGCTCAGTTCAGGGGACGCTATGGACCGCCAACCGAAAGTGCTAAAAGAAAGGATATGATTGATACACTCGGTTAACTAACTAACTAACACGATTAAATCAAATCATAACAAATTGGGCAATGTATAAACCTTTTGATAGCAATAAACTAAAATGCTTGAATATATCTACAATCAGATAAGGGAATTTTTGATTATGGGTCTATATATCTATGAATTTTACGTTTTCTCCCTAGCGTGTTTTTTCGTTTTATAGCACACAGATCTTATTTAGTTCTTTGTTTCTAGTTTCTAGTTTTTTGTTATTTCTGTTTTTTTGTTTTTCGTTGATGGATAATGTGGTAACACCGCCATATGGTAAAGAGGTGTTGGTTGGCAATTGGGTGGATCGTCGCTATACGTTCGATGAGAAGAGCAATGGCATACTGCCCGGTCTCAGCGCTCTTGAGGGCTGTGAAAAGCATCTGTCGATCAGCCAGGAGTCGTACACGGATGCAGCACAGAGGAACGGGGATAGAATGATCTCCTTCGGAGAGGTGCGAAGGTCACGCATGCGCAACTTCTTCGCGGGCACCACGTCCAATGTCATCTTCATAGACGATCTAACAATGAATGACAATTTCACAACTACAAACACCTTGTTCTACGAGCTGCTTCCCAAGCTCAGCCAGCAGCAGCAGCAGCACGCCAAGAGCAAATCGGAGTCCTCTGGCATACCCGAGCATCAGCATCAGCTAAACATGCTGTTGAGCTATGGCAATCTGACCAAGACCGTAGGTATTACAAAGAATGCTCAAATTGACAGACGCCTCGAGAAAGCGCTGCGTATGCGATCCATATACGACACATCCTATAATCACTACCCAAAGACCAGGACGGATTTCCGTACATAATAGTAAAGAGTAGAACAGACTACATACTGAGGCTGTATCAGAAAGTAAACAAGTTGAAGCTAATAATAAAACGGAGCTGGGAACACAGCAAAATAGGTGTGAGGCTAGGCCAAGCGAGTGCTTATGCTTCGCATCTAGCTCCACAGCTGTCTTGTTGAGTTCAAAGTTCATGTGAAATATAATAAGGCTGTTTTGTTTCTTTTACTGATATGTAGGGTATGTCGGAGCGAATTTATCAGTCAGGGTGTATTGCTTTAAGAACCATGAGTACTTTGAGTATTGATAAATTTAGGAATTTAATCTAGTTAAACATATACTCTGGTACAGTTTGATACGTATTCAATTAGTCTGATAAGCGCACTGTATTAAACGAGTTTTTGCCTATAAGTAGTGTCCATAATTTATATGTTTCTAAATGTCTAAATGTTGTTTCATCATTCAGTATTCATCACTCATTTTTCTTCCATTATTTCCACTTTCGTCTCATCGTAGGCATCCTCTCCACCCACACCTTCACCTTCGCCAATGGTAGAGAACTTACTCTATGTGCTGCACTTCCCACTTCAACTTATCTCTATGCTCTGCTTTACGACCTTTCTTTTTTTTTTTTTTTTTTTTTCACTCTCTATTTCTCATTTCAATTTGATAAACACAGTTTATTTTTTTTTTATATTACAAGATTCAATTTTTATTTCATTTTCCATTCTTTCTTGTATAATAATATAAGTTTTTTGTTTTTTCGTAATTTAAGTAGTTTCTATTTTTTATTTTGGATGCCAGAAATTCATTGAAGTTTCATTTTTTTTTTTTTTTTCATTTTTAATTGTAGTTTTATATATTTTTTTGGTTGCACATGCCGTTGCAATTGTTGCTTAGCTTTTATTTTGAAATTAGTAGGTCGATTAGACGTTTACAATACTTTGCCGTGTTATATAATTCATATATATAAATATTTATATATATATATATATATATATATATTTTGTTTTAATATTAATAATTATTACAAAAAGTAAAATTTGACGACATTAAACTAGACGACGTTTTGCATATGTTTTACTCGCTTAAATATTTTACTTTTGCCATGTCTTCAAGTGTGTGTGTGTGTGTGACTGTGTCTGTCTGGGAGACTGTGTGTGTTGTAGTTATTGTTTAATGTTCTTTTTTGCCTTAAAATCTTATGTTTGGAGTAAGTTTTTGGACAATTATTAACTGTCTTGAAGTTGTTGTTGTTTGCTTGCTTGCTTTGGCTGACGATTACATTATTAAAATTATGCTTAAAATCTAAACCAATGGAAAGAGTTGTGGGCGGGGCTTGTGGGCGTGTCGTGTGTGTACTAAAAAGTGTGTTGGTATTGGTGTAGCTTCAAGTCATTTTATAGGTGGTACAAATTTGCGTATATGTTGGTGTGTGTGTGTGTGTGTTTGGGATTTGTTTCGGGTTGATAAGTAAAAATGTTTATGTTTTTGTTGTATTTAAGAAGTGTGCTGATTATATGCTCATATATATAGCTTTTGTATTTTTTTTTCTTTTTTTTTTTGGTTTTTTATGTTTTTTGTTTTTGCTTACAACAATTAAAATTTTGAATTTTCATTTTGTTTTTACGTTTTTGGTATTTTTCTTTAGTATATTTCCGTTGTATTTTCCATTTTTGAGAATGTTATATATAGTTTTTACTTATTTACTTTCGTTTTGTGTAATGTTTAATTTTTTTTCTTGCTTGTTTTCTAAATGTGAATTTTTCCCCATTTTCGGTTTCAAAATTTTTACTTTTTTAAATATATTTTCGTTTTTTTTTTCGCGCTTACTATAATTTAGTATTAGTTTTAATTTTAATACCTAAAGTATTTTATTTTTAGTATTACTTAAATGTTGCTGAATTTATATTTTGGTTTCCGCTTTAGCTTTTTTATATAATTTTTTTTTCATTCTTTTTTTTTTTTTTTTTTTTTTTTGGTTTTTGGTTTTAAAAAATGATGCTTAAACATTTGGCTTAAATGTAAAATTTTGTTTTATTTGCTCCAAAAATGTAATTTAATGTAAATTGTAGTTGCCGTGAATGCGCAATACATATATATATAAATATATATTTATATATAGATATATATATGTATTTACAATTTTGTAGTTGCCGAGAGGACGTTTCCATTTATGTATTAGCCGTGAGTTTTGTAAGTTTTGGAATAGGCCGAGAAAGGTTTTTATATTTATTCATTTTCATATTCATTTTATTTTTCTTTTACTTACTTTGCCGTCAGGTCAAGCCATCATTTTTTAATTTTTTCTTCCTATTATCATCATAAATTTACCAGTTTTTCGATTGACCAAACTTTTCCTTGACGATCCTCGCATTTATTTAGGATATTCTTTCTTTCTCTCTCGTCTCTTTCATTCAATTTTCTGTTCAAAAGTTTTCTTAAATTATTTTCTAAATGCAAATTGTTTTCATAATTTTTTTTTTTTTTTTTTATGCTTGCCACAAATATTTTATAAAACTTGAGTTTCGAAACTTGCTTTGCCAGTTAGTTTTGAAATGTTCGCTTTGTTTATTTAATTTTTGGTTGTTGTTGTTGCTTGTAGTTGTGGTGGTGATGGTTGTTGTTGTTGTAGTGGTGTGTGTGTGCGAAAAAACAAGAATTAGGTAAAACTTCACATTTAAAATTGAACTGAAATTGGTTTAGATTGAAATTAAATTGAAAACTTAAATTGAAAATATTTGATGAATTTTTGTAGCCAGTTTTATTGCTTTTCATGTGCATTTTTTTATTTTATTTAATTTTTGTTAAGTTTAGTTTGTATTCCAATTGGTTTTTTCTTTTTACCAGTAAAGTGAGATTTTTTATATTGTTTTTCATTTTTTTGTTTGTCTCTTGTAATATAAAAAAAGTTTTGATTTTTTTTTATATTTTTCTTGTTTTTGTTTTTCATTTCTTTTCATATATGTTTAATTCGCTTTGTATGTGAATTAAATTAGAAATTATATAAATTCATATATAAAAAATGTTTAACAATCGTTCTTATTTTTTTTCTTTGTTTTTTTTTTAGCTATTGTTAGTTTCTGTTTCTTTAAAAAATATATGTATATAGTTTACTTTATTTTATTTTATTTTCATATTTGTTGTTTGTTGAGTTGCTATTTAACGCTTTTGATTTGCTTCAACTGATTCAGATTCCATTCGGTTTAATTTTTTATTTATTTATTTTTTTTTTTTTAGAATACATTTGCTGTCAATTGAATTTGAATTTGAATTTGAATTTGTTTGGCTTCTGTCTATTGCTTGGCTATTTGTTTGTATAAAAAAGTTGCTCTCAATAAGAAAAACGTTTTGTTTATTGTACTATGGTTGCTGCTTTGCGGTATATGTTGCACTTGTTGTAGATCTCTCTTGATTACTTTGTTCGGTTTGTTCTCTACATTATGAGTATATAATAAAAACAGAAGATTTGATTGGTTTATTGTTGTTGTGGTTGTTGTTGTTGTCGTTATCAGGCTATGGCTATGACTGCAACAGGTGCAGGGCTTAGCACCTGCACAGCTTGTATCACTATTGCTTTGTATTTGATTAATGGCTTTACACTGCTCAACAAATATATTATTTCTCACTTTCTGATAAAAATAAAAAACGTTGCTTCTTGTTGTGGTTGTAGGAGAGAAAACTTAAATTAGGTTTTGTATGGGGGTTTTTATTTTTGGGGCTTTTTATTTTTTATTTTGGATATGTTGCGATTGTATTCGACTTTTGTTCTCAACTGAAAGAATCGTGTTTAATCGAGTGGGGCGTCTCGTTGCGGGCGCTCCAGTGTTGTTTTTTTTTTTACATTTAGTTTAAAACATAAATTTTAGCTATGTATTTGTATTGTATTTGTATTTGTTTTGTTTTTATTTTTATTTTTTGTTTTGGTATTTCCATTTTGATTTTATACAACGCGCTTGGTTTCTTGGCGGAATGGGAATAATAAATAATTGATTTACTTACTTCGGTACTATTGCAGTTTGTAATTGTTATTATCTTTACATTGAGTGTGAGTGTGTGTGTGAGAGTGAGTGTGAGTGTGTGTATGTATAAGTGATGTTTGTATGTACAGTATAATAATTAATTATATTTGCATAATAATTAGATTGTTCTCTCTTAGCTGAACTCTAAATAAAATTTGTTGCTATTGTGATCCGTCTGTTGGTTCAGCTATTTCTATTTGTTTTTGGTATTATATGGTAGTCCCTGTCAATCGTTTATAATAATTAATTACAAACTCTATTATTCAATTGTGAAACATATATATGTATGTCTGTTCTGTTCTGTAGATCTGTTCATCTTTAAATAAATGCCAACATAACAAATTGTGTTTCGGTTTCTCTCTCTCGTTCTATGGATTTCTTGGCTTCTTGGTTTTTTATTTCTTACTGCAGAACTTAACTGTTTTTTTACTTTTAACTTATTTATGTTTCTTTCCTTTTGTTTTTTTTTAATGCTTTAAGCGATCGCAAGTTTTAAAAATATTTGTTTTGCATATTTCACTTAACACTTAGTCAAATATTTTTAAGGGGTTTTCATTTCATTTTTAAGTAAATGTTACTATTATCATATATATATATTTATATATATATATATATATATATATATTCATTTATTTTTTTGTTTTTTGAGTTTTGCTATTTTTTTGTTGTGGTTGTTGTTGCCTTTCTTTTGTTGCTTTATTTAACTATTGTTAATTGCTAATTATGTTTTTATTTCTATTTCATTTGCTGTTTCGGTTATGGTTTTGGTTTCTGTTTGTGTTTTGTAAAAAATTCTGTAAAATATTTTCGGTACTATTTCTCTTGGTTTTGTGGCTCCGCTTGTGGCTCTTGTTGCAAAAACAACAACAATTCACATCGTATAAGTATAATATCGTATAAGTTAAATAAATCATTTGATTTGCATTTTACTTTAAATTACTTGTTCTATGGGCACATTGTGTGTATTGCAAAAAGTCTCAAAATTAGCTTGGCCTTGACCTCATCCGACAGGGCTTCGGCTGCGTTCCATTTGCTGTCTATCTATAAATGAGTTGGAGTTTTACTTGGCGTTGTCTAGGAACAAGAAATCATTTAGGTTTTAATTCATCTTTGGCAAATTCGTTTTGTAAACTCAAATTAATAATTAATAGCAAATTTAACATTTAAGAATATTGCAGTCGGGCAGAGCCGACTGCACAATGCTCGTTCACGAGGGAGTCGCTCGGGTAAGAGAAATTCCTATATATTCAGAGTTTGCTTATAGTCTATGGGCAGAGGACGTTAAGAGTTATCTATTTAATCTTTGATCTTGCTCTCGTGGTACCCAAACTATATGATTTTGCTGTTCTGGCATATGGCAATAAAATCGTTCTCAAAGGAAAATAGATCTCTGAGCATAACTCAAGGTATTGCTGCCCTGTGGATAAGTAATAGCTTCTGGTCAGATCAGTATTAAGAGAGAGCGATGAAGAAAGCGGAGTATACACGCTCGAGCACTCTGATCGTGCTCGTCTAGTATTTCTCAATAAAATTTAATTCCTATACAAGTATAGTTCCTAAGCAATATAGAAGGCAGATCATAATAGTTTGCTCCGTTAGCCCCTAGTTAGCATAGCTATTTTAACAAATTATTGGAAAGCTAATAACTTTTATATCTGATTTCCAATCACACACGCCTCCAAGAGGCTTACTCTATTTATCATTATTTATATCTCTAATTTCAAGCCTCTAGCTTCAATAGCAGACGGACAGCAAGACAAACTTTTCTCAGTTTCCTGAGCGAGCACTTCAATCTGATTATAATTTAAGGTTTTCCTCTCTGCTCTCTATATGGGTTTCCAATTACGAAACAATTCAAAGTATATATGTTAATCTAAAGATTAATCTAATAAATGTAAAATGTAAAAATTGCAATAAATTCGAGGTAGAACATTTAGTAAACTCTTCACGCTGCTATGGCATTCGTTATTCGTCTGGTAAGTATTCTATATATGTGGGTTCTATTTATACTCAACTCATTTATGAACTGTACAATTGCGAGTGTGTGTGTGCATATCTGTGTATGCATGTATGTGTGAGTGTATCTAAGTTAAGCAATGAGGAACCATATTTTGATTGTTGCACAAATAAAAAAAAATAATAATAACGAAAAATGACAAATGTGAAACACGATGAAGCCCAACCCTATATATAGTCAAGTTGCCAATATTTTGAGCTTTTTGCAATATTTCGCTTGTATAGAGTTATTTTGTTTTTTTTTTTTTTTTTTTCACTGTTTCGTATTCGTATTCATTAAAAACTAACGAGGCTATTGTTGTTTGTTTGTTTGTTGTTGTTGTTGTTTGTTATTCATCTTAAATAAAAACAGTTTCATATTGCTTAAGTATCTCTCTTGCTTACATACTTTCAGTACTTCTCTGCTGTTTGATAATTCTTTCTATTTCATTTCTGGCTGTTTCATTTTATTTTACGTCAAATATAAGTAGATATATATGTGTATATATATATCGTATATAGAGTATGTATTAAATACGTTAAAAAATATAATACACCATACATATATATATAATATAAGAGTTAAGGTTTTTCCATGCACTATATGCTATTTGTTTGTATTTTGTTTCATTCGTATACATATATACTGTAGTATATATATGTATATATATATGTATATATATTATGTATCTATCTTTATGTATATATACTTCATGTTCTTGTTCTTGATCTTGTTGTTGTTGTTGATATTTGAGAATTGAACTAAAAGTGAAAATAAAATGCATTAAATCGAGCTCTGACTCGATTCATTCAATCAAATCAAACAGCTTTTTCATGGGACTTACAACTTTAAATTATTATTATCATTATTATTATGATGCATAAGTATTCGTATTATTATTATTATTATTGTTGTTATTATTGTTTAGATTCAGTTGTAATGCTTACCGTTGCTATTTCAATGCGTATTTATCTATAATTTGCATATATTCCTCATACTGTTTTATTGATTTGCTTGAAGTTTGAAGACGTTTGTCTCTTGTTTTATTTGCTTTATGATGGTTCTCGCCTTAAAAACTATTATCACTATTGCAGAAAGCGAAAGCGGTTTGTTTTTCAGATATGGAATGATATAGCAGTTACCTCCTATATCAATCTATATCATGCACTGTTGTTGTTGTTATTGTTGTTTGTTTGTTGTTGTTGTTGTTTGTGGGCATTTACTATGAGTTTCTGTTTTTGGTTTTGATCTGAACTGTAAGCCGGATGAGTTTTTGTAAATTTCTGTTTTCTGAATACATTTATCTTTAAATATTATATTCAAATGTTTTTTTTTTATCATAATTTTTTTTTATGTTTAGGATTTCATTTCTTTGTTAGCTTTTATTATAATTTCTCGTTTTAATTTTAAGAAGAAAGGATTCTCTTGAAATTTTCGTTTTTCTTTTTTTTTTCTTTTGGTTTTCTTGTCAAGTTGGTTTTTTTTTCTTTTCGCATTTTAAGTTTTTGATTTGCCAAGTTTGGTAATTTTTATCATTTTTCGTTCATATCCATGCCTCTGTGTGTTCTGTGTATGTGTATCTGTGTGTGTGTGTAGTTACATATTTGTTTAATGGATGCTTTATTGAGACTGCAATTAAAATTTCTGCTATAAAAATTACTTGTATTTGTACTCTTGGTTATTTAAATTGGGCTATTGTTGTTGGTTGTTGTTAGGTATGCTTGTAACTTTCTTGTTCGTGTGTAGAACTCTCTGCTCTCTCTCTATCTGTCTATCTGTCATCTGTCATCTGTCTCTCTGTCTCTATAACTTTAACTATTTATTGAGGGTTCTCTTATATACGAGTATGTATGTATATATGTTTTCAGGACTGGCTTAAACTACGATTTCATTTCATTATTAGCCCCTTTTTCTGTCTAGGCTGTTTGTCTCTGTGTTTCTTCTTCTTCTACTGACTCTCATCTAGGGTTTCATTTTGTCTTTGCCGGTTTGTTTATTTTCCTTTATTTGAGCTTTTCGTTTTACTCTCACACTGAAGCAGCCTTTCTCTTATTGTTCTCATTTATTTCTGATTTTTGTCGTTTGTCTGGGAGCTCTTTATGCTTTCTTCTTCTTTTTGATTCGTTCTCTGTGAAATTTCGTTTGCAACTACAAAAAAATAATATCTATAAAATACAAATAAAATATTTGAGGAAACACAAAATGAAAATCATAAATTTCCATGGAGCATTTTGGAAAATTTTGGTTAGTTTTTTATATAGAATTTTTTTGTTTTTGTTTTTTTTTCTAAATTTTTAGCGCCTAAATTTATGTTATTTTTTGATTAAGTGTTAAATTTTGTATTTGTTTTTATGCCTAAAAATTTACAAAAGTTTTATGTAATTGTTAATTTTTTTTTTTTCGTTTTTCTTTTTTTTTTTTGCATTTATCACAGCGACATTCAGTCTAAATTTTTGCTTTTATTGGAATTATAGCATAATTTGCCATAATTGATATAATTATTTATATTTATATAGTAGATATTCATTTTAGTTAACTAAAACTAAACATAATTTTGATTTAAAGCCAAAAGGTGTGTTTGTAACTGTTTTTTCGATTTTCGATATTCGTTTTAAAGCCAAACATAATTGTTAAAAATTTCGTCTAAAAAGGCCTAAAGGATTTATAGCTTAGTGTTAATATTTTGTTCACACTTATAGCAAATCATGCTGTTCTCTTTTTTTCGATTAACTTGGTCTAATTCCAATAAAAGCCGTTCGTATTGGATATCATAGAAATCTCTTGTGTTTCTTCTTCTTGATGTTGCCCCATGCAATTTGGATGTTGTTCGTTTTGTTGTTGTTTCTCAAATGTGCCTAAAAGTTTTTTTTGTTTTAATTTTTTTGTTAAAAATTTTGACTAACCTTTGTTAATGTAAAATGCTTACGATGCCAAACAATTTTTGTTGTTAATATTATTAAATAGTATTATTCTTTTTGTTAAACTATTTATAAAACTTTTGTGTTTTGTTCGTTAAATTTCTCGTGTTATGCCAAAAGGTTGACTATTTACAATTTTCTTTGCCCAATAATAGCCGAAAAGTGATTTTTTTTATTTAACTGAGCCTATCACAAAAAATCAGACGCCTTGCCCAAGCCGAAACGTATGCTTTGCTGTGTAGTGTAAAATTGTATTACTCCATAATTCGAATTGCAAAATCATAATAGAAAAAAATTATAATTATTTGTTGGTTTATTAAAAAATGTTTAAATAATAAGATGCAAACATAATTTTAAAAACTAAAACAGTAAAAAACAAATCAATTTGCATAATTTGATATCGAATCGAAACTTAACATTAAAAATTACATAATATAAATTATATATATATATATTTTTTTTATATATATATATATATATATATATATAGATAGAAGTGTGAGTAAATTACTTGCAAATCGGGGTTAGCTAAATTATAATTAATTTCTGTTCAGTTTTAGGTAACATATTCTATTAGTTTAATAACAATTATAAATGCTTTGACGGTACATTGGAAAATTTGATATAAGAAACTAAATTTTTAAAATTGTTTTTTGTTTGTTTTTCTTTCTTTTTTTTTATATCCACACATATTTGATTTGATATCAGATTTAGTAAACAGTTCGTCTGACTATTGTTCATTTAATGTATGGCACCTGAAGAGTCACATCTGGATAACCTTTTGCTATAAACAATTTGTTAGTTGAAGTTGAAGTTGGGGTTGAGGCTGTAGTTGTGTTTGGGGTTGTGGTTGGAGTTGGGGTCTGTTGCCATGTGTGGACATAGTTGAATATATAAAGTATATATATATAAAATATAGTTTGCTAATTACTTAATAAAACTCAACATAAATTACACACAAACAATTCTGGGGAAGACAACAAAAATTTTGTTTGTTTCCAATTTACAAACTTAAAATAAAAATATTTTAATTTAAACATTAAATTGCATATGATTTGTTTTTTTTAATAATTATTATTTTTAAAAAAATCACATCTCATTCAAAGTTTACGCGCAACTCCAAGATAAACTAATATATTTAAATATATTTATATATGTTTAAATCAAATGAATATTTCAAATAAATTAGCTGCTGTCTTCTTCTTTGCCAAAAGATATTACAAAATTAAACATAATTTGCTCAGCGCAACGTCGAACGCCTCTTGATTTTCTCTCTCTATTTATACCACTAATCGTACCGCTAGCTGCCCCATCTATCACTATCATTCACTCTCGGCCTCACTCTTGCGCTATCTCTCTCTCCCTCTCCCTCTCCCTCTCTCTGTCTCCCTCCCTCACTACTCTAAGCAGTACGCCTAAAAATCGTATAACTCTGTGAACTTTCGATTTAAATTTGTAAAGTTAAAATTTAAGATCCTAAAATAAAATTTGCTTTTATAGAAAAAAAGGAATCGTATAACGTTGTGTTTTGGATTGATCTATGCTAAAGTTGTTCTCTTTCTTCTTTTCTAACTTCTCTTTTAGCTTCTTCAACCGTTTTGTGTATGTGTGTGTCTGTGTGTGTGTGTGTGTCAAAGGAGTTTAGAGTCCTTTTCGAAAAGACTAGTACTCGTCTGTTCATGCTACGTTCTGCATCATATATACATATATATAAATATATATATATACGTATGTCTGACCAAAACTGTGTTTTGACTTTCGTTTAAAAACTAGGAGAATTTCGTGTTTTGTTGATTTGATTTTCATTTTTAAAGAACTTAAGAAAACTATTAAAAACTTACAAAATATTGCGAATATTTATATATATGTATATATAATTTTTTTTTTCTTTTTTCATTTAACTGTCACAACTTTTTACAAAGCTGGGCAGAATTTTTGTTTGCTTTTAAAATGTGGGCGTGGCTGGAGCATTCATTGCTTTCTTAGCTGCTGCTGCTGGATGATTCGTAGAGCTGCGCTGTTTACTGATGACATCATAGAGATCCGAATATCGAGTGTATGTGCGGGTGGATGGGTATCGCGTGCGACAGTGTGGGCGGCGGCGGTGGTGGCGCGACGCCGTTGGGCGTGGCCGCCAGTGCATGTCCTGCATGCGTGTGCGCCGGATGCGCCGTTGGCGGTGGCGGCGGCGGCAATGTTATTGACAGCGTCACCGTTTGCGGCGCCGCCACCGTGGGGGCGTGTGTCGATGTGGGCGGGGCTGTTGCAACGCCCGTGGCCGTGATATGATGCGCACTTGTCGGTGGCGCCGGTGGCGGCGGATGATGCGCTGTTGTTGTTGCCACCACCGATTGTTGCTGTTGTTGTTGCTGCTGTTGCTGCTGCTGCTGCTGCTGTTGCTGCTGTTGCTGCTGCTGTTGCTGTTGTTGCTGCTGCTGCTGTTGCTGTTGTGCTCCAGCTGCTCCAGTGGTGGGATGTCACTGGGCCACCACAGAGGTGGCCGCATTCTGCTGCACCACCACGCCCGGCGCACTGGCCACGGTAACCGTCACAGGAGGCGTGGGTCCATTGGCGTGGGCGGCGCTCGGCTGCTGCTGCTGTTGCTGCTGCTGCTGGGCGTGGAAGGGGTGCTGGAAGGGCGGGCCGTAGCACTGCGGAAAGTATAGCTCATTCTTGACCACCGATTGCTGGGCGACGGCCGCTGCCGCCGCCGCATTCGCCGCCATGCTGCGCACTGGCAATATGTTGGCCTTGTTGTCCACGGCGGCGGGATTGTTGTTGTTGAGGAATTGCTGCGCGGCCAGGCTCTTGGCATCGTTCATCAGATGATTGACGACAGCAGCCGAGGCGGCGGCGTTCTGTTGCTGCTGCTGCACCTGCTGCTGCTGCTGTTGCTGCTGCACCTGCTGTTGCACCTGCTGCACCTGTTGCTGCTGCTGCTGTTGCTGTTGCTGCTGCCGGCGCACCTTGGTGCTGTTGGGATTCATGTGGTTGTCAATGTGCTTCGTCACCTCGTTCTCCGTGGCAAAGCGTCGCCGGCAATTCGGCATGGGACAGCAGAACGGACGATCGCCCTGGGATGAAGATGACAATAAAGAAGAAGAAAAGATGGAGACGGGAATTAGTCAATGTCTTTCAATGGGCCAGCCAGCATTGGGCGCTGCTTGGGGGGCTCGGCTAGGCTACAACTACCTGGTGGGTGCGCGTATGCTGATCCAATATGGCCTTCTGCCTGAAGTCCTTGCCACACTGGCCGCACTTGTAGGGCTTCTCGCCAGTGTGAATGCGCAAGTGCTAAAACGGAGAAGAAGAAGAAGAAAAAGAAAGAGAGATAGATATGTAATACCATTCCCATTGTCATCTCTGCCCACACTCACCTGGTTCAGAATGGTTCGCTGCCGGAAGAAGCGCGGACAGTACATGCAGCCGAAGGGCTTCTCATTCGTATGGATGCGCAGATGCTGCGTGAGATGCGACTGCTGGCGGAAACGCTTGCCACACTCCGGACACGGATACGGCCGGGATTCGATGTGTATGCAGCCGTGCTGCAGCAGCGTCGTCTTCTGCTTAAACTCCTTGTCGCAGATGGGGCAGCGCACGTAGAGCGGCATATTCGCCGGCCGCACGCCAATATGCTGCAGCACCTCGGGCAGGATCTTCTGGCCTGCTAGCAAGAGCAACGATTAAGAAACCAGTGGACAGTGGCCAGCTACTCTCTCTACTCACCCTTGCCATCCTTGAAGTAGGACGGATAGTGCATGCCACCGCTGCCGTCGGGTGTGCCCTGCGAATCCTCGTCGTGGTAGCCGCCGCCAGCGACGGCAATGTCGCCCTTCGAGTCCGCATCCTCGCCCGGAAAGGGCACGTCCGAGGGCCAGAGCGTCGGATGGGGTCCGTTCTTGAAGATGAGATGCGGCGAGACATCTGTGGTAGGGACGTGTTGATCCACAGCCGGGTGTATATGAAAATAATTAAACCAGAGAGTGCCTTCGTTAGCAGCGCTTAAATTTGGCTCATAGCCACCTTCGATCTTATCACATAGGTCGCCTAGCATCTTGCACTAAACTAGAGAGATTCTATCCTATATTTGTTTACTTTTCTTTTCTTCTATGTCTTTTTTATTATTTTTTTTTTTTTTTTTAGCTATTTTTCCTTTTTAAAGTTGTTGACTGCTTGAGGTCCTTAAACGGAATGAACTTTTTTTGTAATTTTTTTTTACATCCGAATTTTTGCAAGTTTCGAAAATTATTGCTTAAAATGCCAGAGATTGCTAAGAATTTATTATTTATTTTTAATTTTTTGTTTCTTTGTTGGGCACTTTCAAAAATTTTTTTTTACTTATAATTGAAATATAATTTTAGTAAAGCTTTTTTATTTTTTTGTTTTTTTTTTTTTCCTTTGTTTTTAAGGCATTTAAGATTTTTTGTTGCTCTTATTGAGACTAATTTTTGCTTTTTATGCACCTATGTAATAATTAAATTAATATTTCTTTTCTGTTTAAAACTCATTCTTAACTGTTTAAATAACATAAAGGGCATTCCACGATTAAAAATTATAAATAGACACAAAAAATTAGATAAAATAATATTTAATTGCTTTCCTCTATCAAATCATTTGCAACATTGAGGATATTCCCCAGCTTGATTTATAATTAATTTCGGCAGATTTTTAATCTGAATTCACTTTCAAGCAGATTTTTCCTTATTCTACTTCTCTTGCATTCTGAGTCTATTTTCCATTTTCAAACACTCTCAAATAGTCAACAACTTGAATTTAGAATATGTTATAGATAGTTTTAAAAAAAAAATATATATATATTTAATTTCGGCCAAGACATCGCTCAATTTAGAATTTGGAATTTGGAGAATTTTGCAAGGGATTTGCATTGCTGCAAACGCAGTTAGCCAAACGATTCGCTCTAGCACTAGGAGAGCAGCTACGAGAGGATCTAGCAGTGGGGTCAAATAGCTGGTTTGCCTTGCGGCCCTGACTAGGTGGCGATGGCGTAGTGCTGTACCATCGCCTATCGTTATCGTTATCGGTAATGGATGTGTTAACTGTCGCTCGCCTTGGTGGGTGCGCACATGCTGATTGAGGATGGCCTTCTGGCGAAAGTGCTTGCCGCACTCGGGGCAGGCGAAGGGCTTCTCACCCGAATGGATGCGTATGTGCTGATTGAGTATGGCTCGCTGCCGGAAGCTGCGCGAGCAGTACGGGCAGGTGAATGGCTTTTCGTTGGCATGGATGCGCAGATGCTGCGTCAGGTGCGACTGCTGTCGAAAGCGCTTGCCGCACTCGGAGCACGGAAATGGACGGGCATCCGTATGGATCCGATCGTGCTGCAGCAGCGTGCTCTTCTGCTTGAAGTCCTTGCCGCAGGTGAGGCACTTGAACAGCCGCAGATCGCTGTGCGGCTTGTTCTTGTGCGGGCGGCCAGGTCCCGTGCGGCCGCTCGTCGTCCCCGTGGCGCCCGCTGCTCCGCCATTGGCCGCCGCGGCGCCCTCATTGGCATTGCCATTGGCCGGGCCGCCGTTCTGCCCGCCATTCGGCTGGGCTCCGTTCTGTTGCTGCTGTTGCTGTTGCTGCTGCTGCTGCTGCTGTTGCTGGCCGGGCAGCAGCTCGGGCAGCGCATACGATTCGCCTCCGTTCTGCTCCATGGGCAGCACGCCCTTGTTCAGGTAGTGCAACGGCGGGAAGCCAGGTGGCGCCAGCATGCCGCCCTGCGGCGCTCCATGTCGCGGCGCATAGTAGTCGGGCGTCTGGAAGCCATTGCTCGGATCACCCTGTGGCTGACCGCCGCCATTCTGCTGCACATGCGGATTACCCTGCCCAGCCTCGCCCCCATTCGTGGGCGCGTGCTGCGGCTCGTTGCTGCTTTGGTTTGGATTTGGCGCGGAGTTCTGTTGGTTGGCAAGCTGCAAAACGGTGAGAGAGAGACAGAGAGAGAGGGAGAGAGAGGGGGTATGTAAGGTAAGCAACATTCTCTCACTACTAAAGAGATAATCAAAGCAGCTTGGAACTCCACTCACCTGATTCATGGCGTCGTCGTCGGCATTGCCATTCGCTCGCTGCTGCTGCTGCTGCACCGATGGATACGGACTGGAGGAGGGCGAGACCTGCTGCTGCCGACCATCGCCGCTGCCATTGTCGCGCGGCTCCTGGCCGCTCGGCGGACTCTGTGGCTGGCCCGCTGCTGCAGCGGCGGCCGCTGCTGCCGCTGCCTGCGCCGCAACTGTGGCGTTCTGCTGCTGTTGTTGTTGCTGTTGCTGCTGCTGTTGTTGCTGCTGCTGCTGCTGTTGCTGTTGCTGCTGTGCGCTGAGATGTTGCTGTGCCTGCTGCTGTATATTGGGGTACATCTCGCTGCCCCATTGGGTGGCGCTGGCGCCGATGGCGCCCGCATTGCGTTCCGCGTCCTGCGAGTCCTTGTACAGGACGTACGGCTGGCCCGTGTCCTGCGTAATGCAGTACATTATCTGGCGCGGCACCTTCAGGCCTGCCGCTATGCAGGCCGCAAAGGAGGCCGAGAAATTGATGGCCATTTTGTAGTGGTTCTCGTTACGGTTTGGTTATATTTGTTGCTGTTGCTCTAACTGTTGCTGTTGTTGTTGTTGTTGCGGTTCTGCTGCTGCTGCTGCTGCTGCAAGTTGTTGCAGCTTCCCTTCTGGGATTGTAGACAGTAGATGCTGCGTTTACTGTTAGCTTTTCCTTATTGACTTTTGTTGCACATTTTTGATTTTTTGTTTTTGCTTTTCGATTTTTTATTTGTTTGTTTTTGTTTTTACTGCTTTGTTGCTTGTTTCATTTATTTCTTTTCAAGGCTCGCATTTTCTTAATCATTTGAAGTTCCTTTCTTCTTAATTGTCTTCTTCTTGTGTTTGTTTAAATTGTTTTCTTCTTCTCGTTGTTTAATTTTAAATTATATTTGAAATGTTTTCTCTCTCACTGATTCCAATGAGTTGCCAAACCACATGTATTCCTCACATGTTTATTCGAAATTTCTGACTGAAATGCAATTTCGGTTTTATCGAATTTCTCGTACATGAGCAGATTTTCACTTTTTATTATAGATCTGCAAAGAGAAGAAGAAACAATTCGATTTAGTCATAAGTTATATCACTTTTTATACATATATATATTTTTTAATGAATAAAATTTTAAAAAATTTATTTTATTTAATTATAAAAAAAAATTAATTCATAAACATTTTACATACATATTTTTAAATATTTTATTTTATTTTATTTATTTAAAAAAATATATTTTTTTTATACTCTTTTTTATTTATTCATATATTTTTTTAATATTTTTCTTGATTAATATTTTTAAAGTTATAAATTAGTTTATGTTTATTATAATTTTTTTGATTAATTTTTCTTATTTATAAATATTTTGTAAATAACTAAAATACATATTCTAAATGCTTTCATCCGCTCCTTCACCTCTAAATTTAAATGAATCTGAGGCGTATACGTAATTAATTGAAATAGGCAATTTTTCCTGTTTATACAAAGCCTCAGCGAAATTTCTAATTAATTTGCATTCTCAACGCATTTAACACAAAAGAAAGCAAAAAGTTTAATTTCCCATTTCAGGCAACAACAAAATCTCAATTTCAAGTGAAAAGCAACAAAAATGCGACGCAAATTAAAAACAATGAAGATCATCATCATCAGCAGCAGCAGCGGCTGTTTGAGAGGAGTGCCGCAAGAGATACTGAGCAAGAGAGAGAGAGAGACAGAGAGAGCGAGAGAGAGGGATGCCTGACAGTGGCTCTCTGCCTCTGTCTCTGGCTCTGCCTCTGTCGCTGCTTCCACACCCACCCCCAAATGCAGGCACATGTTGTGAGTGTCTCCTTTTGCTGACTTTGCCTGGCTCCGACTCTGACTCTTGTCTTTTATCTTTTCTTTTTGCTTTGCTATTTTGTTCTCTGCTTGTTTCTTTACTTTTGCCCTGTTGCTCCACGACGACGTGCCAACTTTATAATGCGGGATCAAGGTCTCGGCACACACAATCGCACGCCCAGTTCGTGGCCTGTTCCCCAGCGTATAGATCCATTAACAATATACAAGCCCAAGCACAAGCACAAGTGGCAGTGGGAGCACATGTGGCATGTGGAAACAGTTGACCATAGAGGCATGAATAGCCGATTTATTGGCTCGCAGCTAGTGCCAATCTATAGGCATGCAATAGACGGAACACAATTTCCGATGACATGGCCCCAGGCATTGTAATTGGCTTTAAGCGTTGAGCCCGCTAAAGTTCGCTAAAGACTTTCGATTAACTTGACTTGAGTTGCCAAATGTTAAGATATTTAAATACGTAATTTGTTAAGCCAAATGGCAACAAGTGCTTAGACTGTCCCTATCCATCGGCGTATCTATTTTGGGAACTCTCCCTAACACAAATCTTGTTAGTTTGTGTGTTTGAAGAGCAAACTGAATGTATTTCATGTTCCTTATATAGATATATGAAATGCAGCATGTTACAATATGCTAGAGTTGATTTAATATTATTATTGTATTATTATTATTATTATTATTTTATTCTTTGTATATTTCTGTTCTATTAACTAATTTTCAATTTTTGTTTATTTTTCTTATTTTCTATTATTTTTTAATGCTTTATTTATTATTTACTTATTTTTTTATTTTTTTATTTACTTATTTATTTATTTTATTTATTTTTTTTTTTTTTTGTATTTGTATATAATTTTAATATACTTTTTTTATGTATTTTAATATTTTAATTATTTTTTTTCTTTTTAATTTTTTTATATTTTTTTATAAATATTTGTTTATAAATATTTTTTATAAGTATTTTTTTATAAGTATTTTTTCTTTCATATATATTTTTATTTTTTATATTTTTCAAACAATTTTTTTGTTTCTAATTGAGTATTTTTACTTAAATTTTGTATATATTTTTTATAGTTTATATAAAATTTATATATTTTTAATACTTTATACATTAACCATTTTATATGTATTTATATGTATGTATATATGTATACTTTTTGGTTTTATAATTCTTAAATGATTTTATTTATTTTTTAAATACATATTATAAATACACAAATCCTCCTATCCTCAGTTGTAAACAAGAATTTAAATCAAACTAATAATTCTAAGGTGTTTAACTTACTTCAAACAAACTAACATTTTCTTCAAGCTAAGTCCCCAACATTTGGCTGCATCAAATTCGCCTTAAGTCTCAATAAATTGCGAAGCTCCAATCGAAAATGTTTGCCAAATGACAAAATGAATTGGAAACAAAATTCAATTGAAAACGCGATGCGTGCCAGCAGCAACAAACTACAGCAACAACAACAACAACAACAGCAACACTAAGAACAACAACAACAACAACAATTGCAAGAAGTTTGCGCTACCGCATCGAATCGCAACGCATCGACTTAAGATTCGAGTATATACATAAGCATATGTGTGTGTGTGTGTGTGTGTGCGAGTTCGATTCGTTTGAGGCGAGAGAACTAAACTACCTTGAACCCGTAAATGAACGCGACGCGCTGCTAGCAAACAGACTGCCAGCCACGATACCTCCAACAGAAACGGTCTGGCATGGAACGGCGCCCAGCAACTATGAGATGGGGGGTTAGGGCTCTCCGTCTCTCTCTCTCTCTCTCTCTCTCTCTCTCTCTCTCTCTCTCTCTCTCTCTCTCTCTCTCTCTCTCTCTCACTCTCGTTCTCTCTGCCTCTGTGTCAGTGGCAATGCAGTTGCACTTCGAGCCGTCCAAGTTGCTGTTGCTATTTGTGAATTATTGCGCTCCATTGGCAGCGCGACAGCAGTTGCAATTTATGCGTTCGTTGCCGGCTGCAGTTGCCCCCAGTCTCTGCCCCCTGTCCCTGTCCCCTTTCCCTGCTCCAGTCCTAACTTTGCATTTCGAGTCACACTATCTATCTATGAGCACGGCATGTTTGTTTTATTTTCGCCCCGTTCCACACTCTGGCCGCCTTTCTCCTCCCTCTCCGCCTTCAGCGAGCAAATGTAATGAGCGGTTTATTTTTAAATGCGTGTGCGGCCATTTAAATGAGTGTTAGCAGATCCATCGGGACAATGTGCTTTACTTAACAATCGCTCAGGCCCGCCTGATGAATCTTGACGACATGTAATGTAACTTGAACCAGCTTGGATCTCTCTTAAAAAGGGACTCCATTTCTTATAAACTTCTCATCTTAAAATAACGTTTATATAGTTCGAAGGAATCTCTTTTTTAGATCAAACATCAAGGTTTAACAAGGTTGCTTTGAAATTGTAGCAATCAAACTAGTTCATCTGAAGATTTAGTTTTTAACTCAAACGAATGTCTTCTTCAGATTGATCAAACCTAGTTAAAAGGTTCCTTAAATATTAAAAATAAACAATATCAGACTCTTACAGCTATGAACTCAGAAGTCCCATAATTATCTATAGTTAGTATAGTATTTCATTGCATGCCTAGAAGATATTATTCATTGTGCTCCTTATATGGAAGCTTTAATTCTCTCCCATCTTTACCGCCAGCTTAAACACTAAAGAGCATTCAGGACTGTGGCTTCACAGGCAGTTGAAAAACCACAAAGGTCCAACCAAGCAAATCGAAATTCACTCTTTAGACAGGCAGACAAAACTCCACCTACTTCACACCTGACAGCCAAAGCACAATAGACACGCGTTGTGCCAGCAGATACAAGACACAGATACTACTACAGATACAGATAGAGATACAGATAAAAGATACTCATGCACTCGTACAGCAGACATAGAGATGAATGCCAGATATTAATGGCTATAAACGCTGCCTCCCATTGGTCGCTTTGCAATGCTTTGCCCACACGCCATTGAAATCGAAATAGAAATAGAAAAGCAAAGAAAAAGAGGCATTACAAAAAAAAAAAAACTAGAGTAGAAATCGTGGGGGGCGTTAACATGGACGTGGACGTTGACAACTTTCACTGCCAGCGAAGCATGCACTGAAATTGGCTACAAAATGAAAAACGAAATAATGCACAAATGCCATACGGGAAAAGGCATATAAATAACTATTTAATAATTTTCTAATTCGAGTGCAGCAGCAGCAAATGAAAGCATGAAATTGGCATAGAAATAAACTAACAGAGTTGAAGGGATTCAACATAAAGTTTTAAAGCAGTTAACAGCGATCTGCCTGGCCGCTGTTAATTACATCTATATGTAACAGTGTAACATTCCTCTTCTGCTGTTAAGATCAAATATGATTAACAGTGCTTCATTTGTTAACAGTAACCGATTTAAGTAGTTAACAGCGCGCAGCTACCTACAAATGTTATTAACATATTCAAATTTTATACTTAGCTACGCTGCATTTCCTTGCATCTATTATTAACATACATATGTAGATTAACAGTTCAACATTTCACTTCAACTTTACTCTAAATTTGCATTATGTAAGCCACTTTAAGCAGTTAAAATATAATGTTCTCGCTCAAATCCATATAGTATATTATCGAACGATATAAACACACTTGGCAAACAGACTCCACTTTATAAATAACTACATAAACGAACTGCCAAGTGATTCAGCATTCTCTCAATTACCCGCTTCATAGCCAAAACGGATCTACAACAAATTTAACTTTCAAATTGATTTACAACTTCAATTTTTATTTAGCCAATTTATTGGGGAACTAAAAGCTCCACACACGCACACGCACACTAGAACGGGCCTATCTATCTATTGTATTTATCTGGCATAGCGCAAAAAAGAATAAGAAGAAGATAGCACGATACAACAAAAATTTGGTTTCAAGGTTAGGGCATACAAAGCAACAACAAAAATGGCAAACTTTTTTGCGCTTGTTGCTGCGACGCCAACAACAAAACCGAGCGCCAAAAAAATTTAACGTAATTTGTGCAGTCGTCTAATTCAATACACAGCAGCAGCGTGAGAGCCGAAGAGAGCGAGCTGAAGCGTGCGGCAGAGTGGAGAGAGGAATAGAGTGAGCCAGAGAGAGCGAGAGAGGGAACTACAGGTAAGGCACAATTGTCGACCGACAGAAACACACAAAAAAGAGTACACAAAAAAAAAAAAATATGTGAGTCATATAAAGGCGACCAAAGCGTCCAAGCGTCCAATTTTTGTATTGTTTGACGCTGTTAGCAATTTTTTTTATTTTTTTGCCAACGTTCTTCTCTTTTTTGTTCTGCTAACATTACTCCAAATACATGCATAGATATTCACACATACATATGAATCTATCTATACACTTATGCATATGTATGTATCTCTATTATATATTTTATGGCCCTATCATAAATTTGTGTTTGGCAGGTTGTAGATAGAAAATAAATGAAATTTTAGGCCTGTGTTTAGTTACTGCAGCTTAATGAAATTTAATATTTTTTTAAGCACACCCTTCAAATAATAGTAAAATTTAATAACAATTATTAATTTATATATAAAGTAAAGGTATATATTTTTATTCTTATTTTCTCTGTATATATATTAATTTTAAATTTAATAACGAATAAGTATCAAACATAAAATAAAGCTAACATTACTCAATTAAATCCCTGCTAATTCAGTTAGAGCATTTCACATTCGTTTTCATGCCTTTTCCCTTTCCTTGCACTGACAGCTCGTATTCTACATGTAAATATCTGTACATTTAATTAACGCCGTTCATTTTATTTCGAACTCGACTTTCGGCGACAAACAAAAAACGAAAAACGAAAAGGCGAACAAATATTCGAACCGAGATCTCGTGCGATGATAGATGGGCTCTCGATTGGATGGCAGCAGTTCCACACGCCACACATGCATTAGATTATTGCAGATGTGTCTGTTAGATTTACACACACATACACGCACACTTACACATACACACACAGGCATAGTGTAACACTTGCGGGCACACAATTAAGTGATTTTGCTTGTTTTGTTGTTGAACATTTTGTGGATTTTAGTTTTTTGTGCAAAAATTTCGGTTTGAATTTGCTTCTTTTTTTTTTTTTTTTGCGCGCGCGTATAATTCATCATATTCCTTTATGGGCTGACATTCGCACACAGCATTTGTAGATACGCACCAGCACCACAGATTATGCGCCCGCTTACCGTCCCTCTCTCTGTCACACACACACACACACACACTTGTACATACTCGATATAAACGAATTTAGCCCCAGGGGGAATTTCGAAAAAAAAAAAAAAAAACGAGTGGAAAAAAATCGCAAATGATTTGTGGCAAATTTTTTGTTGTTGCTTTATTTGCTTTTAGTTTTCACGTATTTCGCTTTGCTCTGACTACTTGTTGTTGTTGTTTCTGCTGCTCTTGCTGCTGCTGCTCATTAGTGCCGTTTCTCTGTGTGTGTATGTATGAGTGTGCGTGTGTGTGACTTCGCTTTGCATGCCCCCTTCCCCTTCTTCGACCCGCTTGCCTATCCTTTTGCCTCTTTTGCATTTTGTCAACTTGATTTACGCGCAAAGCATTTTAACTTGAGTGTGTTTTTGTTGTTCTCTTTTCCTTTTTGTGTTTCATTAATAATAGTTAATTTTCTTTAAATTTTCGCTATTTGTATTATTTCTTAGCTCACCTGTTTCTTTTGTTTGCAAAATGTGTTTCCTTTCCTTAGTTTTGCCACAAAAATAAAAATTAATTCCAAATGTTGTTTAGCTGTGAAATCCTTTCTTTTATTTTTTGGTTGCGCTGCTTCGATTGAAATTTTATAGTTGTTATTCCTTTAATGCTGCAAAGAGAATAAAATATTTCAAACATTTAGTTAGATATATTAAAAGAATTGAATTTATAGCTGTATGAGTTTATTTATAAAAAAGTAAAACTTTAATCAAACAAAAGATACATCTTTAGTCGAAACTAGTTAATTTAAAGATATCCTATATGCCATTGAGGTATCGTAGAATGTAAAATGCATCAGTGTTACCAGAAGAGAATCTTTATTCCATCTTTGGTGAGTCAAGCTTTAAAAATGTGATATATGTATGTATGTATGTGTGTGGTCTAAGAACTTATGTGTCATATTGATTTCGGTAGTTTTACATACAATATAAAAAGTTTTAACTCTTTCTGCCTCTCTCTCGCTGTCACTCTCAATTTATGTCTGCCACTCTCTTAATATCGTTTTTTTCTCTCTACCTTTTATAGTCTCGCATATTGACACACGTATCTATACAACGACGCATACAGGAGAGACAGATAGACAAATTGCCTAGGGCTATACTCTCTCTATTGTTGGCTGATCAAAAAAATGTCTACTTAACATACTATGCCTTCTTCTTCTTCTACTTGTTAAACACATTTTACCAATATAATGATACCCTTCATATTAGAATTCAATGTAATAAGATATGATACAAGAATGTATAGTTTTTTGGGAATATGAAGATATACTAATATTTAATTTAGAATTTAGCTTACGGAATATTTACTATAAGTTTATTGTTAGACTTGGTTTTCTTTTCGTAGTCAAAGTAAAACAGTTTATTACAGATAGTTATATTTAATTAACTTGACTTAAAGAAACCTAATATGCCAAAGAAATGGAATACTCAATAAATTATATACAACAAATGTTTTAACTTAATTACGAATGCTAAACCAAATTACCAATCCAAATTTCTCAATAGTATATCTAACTGAATATTCGAAGTGTATCTGTAAAATAGTAGGCACATAATTGAGGCTTGCTTATAAGATCAACGGCCCAATAAATCTGCGAGTTAAAATCTACTTTTAGCTCAAATTAGCTAATTGACAGGCTATAAAAGCGACTTGGACGCCATTAAAAAGCCACAAAACACCCAAAACCCAGCCCAAAAGCCATTAAAAAAAAACAAACAAACAAATAACTATTTTCGGCAGCTAGCCGGCAAACAAGCCCACAAACAATAACAACAACTATAAAAACGATAACAGCGATAACTATGTGTGTCGCATAAACAAAAACAAAAGCAGAGGCAAAGGCAAAGCAACCCGAAAAATGTACTCCGCATGCAGGTCTATAGCATCTATGCATATTAACTGTAAAACTGTATAACTGCTATATTAGAGCATGTATACATAAAACACATACACTCACACACACACACAATCCCATACACACACACACATGTGGGCAGCTAACACTAACCTCAAAAAGTTTATAGCGCGCAGTTGCAGCGGCGTGTAGACGAAAAAATTTGCAAATTGCAGCGGCGTTTGCTACACACACACTCGCACGCATACACAAGCGCACACAGGCGAATTTGTAGTGAGAGAGCGAGCAAGCAGCGAGAGACACTAATACACTAAAGCACAATTGCACGTGCTCACAGTAGCTCACTCACACACACACATGCACACACGGAGAGTTATAGATGCAGACACCCCCGCGTACCGTTTGATTCCTCAGCTACATCAAAACTTTTTTCGTTTATTTTCTTAGCTGCAATTGCAAAATGCTGCAAACGTTGACAAAATTTTATAAACGCTTTGCTTTAAGTATTTTGCTTGCTAATCAAAAATATTGGCGGTTTATTGACAGCTGCTGTAGCTGTCGTTGCTGTTGCTATTGCTGTTGGCTTTTTAGCTTCCTGGCAATGCGTTGCGTATACGCCGCGTGTATCACGCACCCACACACATAAACACAATTTCAAAATACGTTTTGTTTATACAATATTCTTGTTGTTGGCTTTGTATTTTGTTTGTTTCGTTTACTTGTTTCTATTTAGTTTTGCGCCTCAGCTACATTTTCCTTTTTCCTTTATTTTTTATTATTTTTTTTTTTTTAGTTATTTTATTGCTGGCAATTTGCACGCAGTCTGCGCTCTATGTTACAAGTACTTGCGTACTCTCTATATATAAACCGTGTGCAGCTTTTTTATTAGATGTCGACGTCGTCGTCGTTGGCGGTCGACGACTGCAAGCAGCAGCGGCACGAAAATCGAACAAAATGCCAAAAAAAAAACACACACACACACTCAAACGCGCACACTAAATCGTAAGTACAACAAGCCGAATCCGATTCCGAAACCAAAGCGAATCGAAACGAAACGAAAAGAAACTCAGCGCAAGGCGCAGCGAGGCGATGTAGTGGTTTTTTTTATTGTATTTTATCTTCTTTTTTTTATTATTTTGTGGGAGCGGAGCGCGCGCCAACTTTTAGCTATGGCTATGGCCACGAGTCTGGGGGTCTCTGGTCTCGCCGCCAACTACAAATACAATGTCTACACACAAAAAAAGCAAAAAGCAGCGAGCGGCGAGTAGCGAGCAAATCTCTCTCTCTCTCTCTCTTAAACACACACATACACAGGCACGCTGGCAGCCAACAACTCACTCACACATTGATACACGTGCGCTCTCTAAGCTTTTTTAGCCAAAACAATTGCAAATTTTTTTAACTTTTTGCCGGCGGGTCGAACGTAGGCCCCCAGCTGTGTCAGTGTATGTGTGTGTGTACAAGACATAAGTTTGTTAGTGTTGGTGCAGTCGCTAGCAGTGCTTGCTCACACTGGTATTCGCTCTCTATCAGTCTCTTTCTATGTTGTGCTCTCAGCTCTTGACGCTCTGTTGTCGATTTTCTAATGTTGCGGCAACAGCGCTGCTAACTGCGCTGCTAGCGCAGCTGTTTTTAGCGCGTGCTGCTGCCGTTGCTGCTGCTGCTACAGCTGCTGCCACTGCTGCACTTCGTGTGCGCTCGCTTTATCGTGTTCTGGTTTGCTCTCTTTTAGTTACGTCTGCTACTATTTAAGAGCTGTTTAGGATTCAAGTGAGCTGTGAAAGTGTAGTAGAAATGCTAGCTCCTACTATTTATGAAGAATAGACAGGGGATTAAAGCCATTTCTGTTTATTAAATATTCTTTAAAATTCTAGAAAATAAATTTGCCATTCATTTAAATACACAAATCTTCATTAAATGACACTTGTGCTGAAGCTAGCTCATAAATCACTATCTATCTCCCTCCCTCCCATGCCATTGCCTACTTCATTCTATATGCCTTCTACAGCTCGACCTCTAGACCTGCTGCTGCTGCTGCTGCTGACCAAGCCCCCAGTGCGGCCCATACTTTAGCAGTTTTTTGGGCAATCAGTTAAGAACGACACCCACATTGGCCACAGCGGGACAGACGGACGGAATATTGAAGTGTAATCGCACCGACGCTCGACACTCCGCCCCACTTTAGCTGTGCGCCCCGCCTCCAAAATTTATAGTGGCCACGCCCACACGGTCTCAGGCACTTATCGTGACCAAAGAACCGAAATTTGCAATTGTTCATTTGATTTCGTTGTTTTCCGGGTTGACGTTAAATGTAGAAAGAGTGAGAGAGAGAGAGAGAGAGAGGGAGGAACTAAAGGCGGGGGCGGCAGCGACAGAGGCTAGATTGACAGGTGCGAGCGGTGTAGGCGGTGGGGGGTGGAGCAGAGTGGGTTGCGGTACGCGATGGTGGGGGGTGGGGGGTGATTAAGAAAGACACATGTACAAAATAAAGTAAATTATTGTATGATGTGTATGCAATATTTTATAAATAAACAACGAATTTTTTTGTATAAACAATCAAAAAACAACAGGCAACAACAACAACAACAATGCTTAATAAGTACGAAACAAGTTGAGCATGCACAAAGGTGGGGGCAGAGACAGATAGACATACAGCATACATATATATAGATATATATGTACATACGTTTGTACATAGGTCAAAGAGAGTGTGTGAGAGAGAGAGAGGCAGTACAAAAAAAAAAGAACTAAAATATCTACAACTGCTGACAACGTCTCGTTTCGTGTCTTTTGTGCCGTTTTTGCATGTTGTTTACTTTCGTTTCGCCTTTTTATTTTTATTTCATTTTTGGCAACGCTGCAAAAACAACAAAAACACAAGTTTAAATGTGATTTTAAGGCATGAGCAAAAAAAAAAAAAAAAAAAAAAAGGCAGCACAAGTACAAAAAAAAAAACACAGAAGATGAAGAAGAAGAAAAAGAAGTAGATGAAGCAGCAGCAAAACCCATCAAGAAAAAAACATTTTTCATTGGCTGGCTGATTAAATACTCTGGCGTCTTATAGAGATAGACAAATGTAGAAGTAGAAGAAGAAGAGAGGTTTGACAGCTCTTTAATATATATATTTTTTAATGATATTAAATAAGATAAGTTTTAGTTGAGACTATCAAAGTCTACCAAATAGTTTTTATAGTTTAATAATTTTTATTCCATATATTCTAGCTCCCATTTTATGAAATACCAAATTCAGCTTAGCCAATTTGTATTTTATTAGTAGCAGCAACTAAAAGCTAGTTTCTATATCAAATTTCAGCTTGATAGCTGCACAGCTTGGCTAGTTCACATAGGTCAGCTGAGCATATCTAGGCAAACCTCATAGATTTCATCGGGTGCAACCTTATACGCTACACTTATACACTATATTATTAACAGTCAGCCTAAACGTAGCATCATAAAAGTTTACTCAGACTTGTTTCCTTTAAATATATGTACATATATCAAATTTGTATCTCAAAGTTACCCAAATGCATACGAAAGATACGCAAAGTGGATGTTTGCATTGCCTTTTTGGCATTAGTAGATGCTTAATTTTAGACTCGCTGCGCATTGTTGGCAGCTCTTTAGCTGCTGCTAAATGTATCTGTATCTATCTCTATATATCTATTCTATATGTATCTGCATCTATGCTAGTGCACTTGTTATTGCTTTTGCATTTTGCATGCATTCATTTTACTTCTTCTCTGTGTGATTTT